TCCCAACACGGAGTAGATTGTTGCAAATACAATGAAGTCCTTTAGAATATGGCAATATCTCTCAAAGACTCAAGCAAGAAATGATTTAGCAATCAAAACAATTGCCTTGCTTGGATATAATGAGGGGATTGAGTAGAATCTCTTTGGATATTCAAAGGATATGTTCTTGAAGTGTTTTCAATGTATGTTTTTGGCCAAAAACACGAGATAGGGTAGTTTATAGAAGTTAGAGAGTGGATAGGGATGAAAAGCATTCAAAAAACTAGTCGTTTGGTAGTTGAAACTGTCGAACTATTCGACTAAGTCAAGACTTAGTCGACTAGTTTTGGTGAAACTGCAATCTGACTTATTCAACTAGTTCTGGATTTATTCAACTAAGTCAGAATAGAATTTCAGGGATTTAGTCGAATAGTTTTTAATTTATTCGAATAGTTTGCTGAAAAAATGTGTTTTAAAGGTAAGATGACAAGGGAATGAACCTTAGAGATGCCATACCGCTTTAACACAAAATCTAAGACCTAAAACACTACCCAACTAAGGAAACAACCTTTTCGGTCTCGTTCCTTCAACCGATGCTCAAGTCCCTTCTTCACGGACGGATATGAACTTGTTGTAGCTTTGATTCTTATCCTTGATGCACAATATGATGATGCTGTTTTGTCACCCTTTTGTCATTATCAAAACCTAAAAGACAATGGGCAAAGGACATTGAAAAAAATATATATTCATGATAGCACATTGTCTAACATCCTAAACATCACAGTGATCGTCACCCTTTCTAACAAGACAATGAGCAACACTATTAAAGTTATGACGCACAAAGTGAAAAGAAACTAAGTAAAAAGAATTCACTAGAGTCACACAATCATCAACTTTACTTGAGACTCATATTACATATGAGTTCTGAATCTGAAAAAACGGTAACAATAACTATTTGGTGAGCAATTAAGAAATCAAATACAAGTATTACCTTTACCAAAAAATCAAAAAATAGCACATACCATATTAAGTTATATAGTTATTCCAAATAGAAATACAAACAAATCGTTTTTTTAAAGGATAAGATATACAAATAAATCTAACTTGATTTCATAATACCTTAAGAATATTTTGCAATTTTACTTAATTTACACATCCGAAGTCATATTAATTAAAATATAGTAATAAATTTAATAATTTATTAATGATTAAAATGGTCTTTTTTTGGTCTTTTAGTGAAATAGAAACTCAAAAATTATTTTCAAATTTTTTATTTTTGCATATACCAGTAATTTGTCAAAAATAAATAAATATGAGTAATAGTGTAATACCAATGAAAAATGTAATGCTCTTAATCAAAATAGTGGTAACACCATAATGATTAAAATTGTCTTTTTTTGGTCTTTTAGTGAAATAGAAACTCAAAAATTATTTTCAAATTTTTTATTGTTTGCATATACCATTAATTTGTCAGAAATAAATAAATATGAGTAATAGTGTAATACCAGTGAAAAATGTAATGCTCTTAATCAAAATAGTGGTAACACCATAATGATTAAAATGGTCTTTTTTTGGTCTTCTAGTGAAATAGAAACTCAAAAATTATTTTCAAATTTTTTATTGTTTGCATATACCACTAATTTGTCAAAAATAAATAAATATGAGTAATAGTGTAATACCAGTGAAAAATGTAATGCTCTTAATCAAAATAGTGGTAACACCATAATGATTAAAAAACGCTAGAAGGAGGGCTTGAACCTCCGACCTTGTGGTTAACAGCCACACGCTCTAACCAACTGAGCTATTCCAGCTTGTTGCTTCGTATTCATTCTTTTTAATTTTAATACATAAATAGAATTTAAATAACACAACATATCATCATTTTGGTGTTCTCAGTGTGATCTTCCACAGAAACGCTGAACGAAGTGGAAAAGAATGTGGAAAAGAACTTTTCGTCTGTTCTCTACAGAGGCGGAAACCCCATCCCTCTACTCCTTTCTCCGGCCATCAATCTTCTCTCTCAAAACTGCTCCCCCGCCGTCCTCCGCCGCCGCATCGAAACCCACCGACGCCACTAAAAAATCCCTAACCCATGACCAAAAATCCAATCTTGAGGCCGCTCTTCGAGCCTCCCTCACCGCCCACCACACAGATGAGGCCTGGAAATCATTCAAGACTCTCTCCAACAGTTCTTATTTCCCCAGTAAGCCCTTAGCTAATTCCCTCATCACCCACTTGTCTTCCCTCTCCGACACTCAAAACCTCAAGAGGGCATTCGCGTCTGTGGTTTTCTTGATCGAAAAGAACCCAGATTTGCTCTCCCATGAAACAATTCGACACTTGCTGACTTCCATGAGGAATGCCAACTCGGCGGCGCCTGCTTTTGCACTGGTCAAGTGTATGCTCAAGAATCGATTTTTTGTTCCTTTTAGCGTATGGGGGAATGACGTTGTTGACATCAGCAGAAAAACTGGTAATTTGGCTGCTTACTTGCCCATCTTTTACGAGATTTTTTCTGTTTCTATGGATGAGAAATTGTTGTTCTTGAAACCTGATTTGGCTGCCTGTAATGCTGCTTTGGAGTGTTGCTGCCGTGAGGTTGAATCCGTCATTGAGGCCAATAAGGTTGTGGATACAATGTCAAGGTTGGGTGTTAGGCCAGATGAATATACTTTTGGATTATTAGCCTATTTGTATGCAAGAAAAGGGCTAAAAGAGAAAATTGCAGAGATAGAAGATCTTATAACTAGGTTTGCATTTCCCAGTAGAAACATATATCTTAGCAGTTTGATTTCTGGATACATAAAGTCGGGCGATTTAGAATCTGTAACGGCTACGGTCATACATAATTTGGGAGTCGATGGAGAAGAAGGTAAAATAATTTTAAGTGAGGAAACATGTGCCGAAATCGTAAAAGGGTTCCTTGACAATGGTGGAATCAAGAGTTTGGCTCATTTAATAGTTGAAACACAAAAGCTTGAATCTTTTTCAGTTACGGCTGAGAAATCTTTTGGGTATGGTGTGATCACTGCTTGTGTAAACCTAGGATTATTGGATAAGGCACACACCATTCTTGAAGAAATGAACATTCAGGGAACTAGTTCATGTCTCGGCGTCTATATCCCAATACTAAATGCCTACTGCAAAGAACGGAGAACGGCTGAAGCTACTCAGTTGGTTATGGAAATCAGTAGCTCCGGACTCCAGCTAGACGCTGGAATCTATGATTCTCTAATAGAAGCTTCCATGTCCTGCCAAGATTTCCAGTCAGCCTTCTCTCTTTTCAGGGACATGAGAGAATCCAGAATATCTGACCTCAAAGGTAGTTATTTAACCATAATGACCGGCTTAACCGAAAGCCACCGGCCCGAACTCATGCTGGCCTTCTTAGAAGAAGTCGTAGATGACCCACGGGTCGAATTGGGTACCCACGACTGGAATTCCATCATCCACGCCTTCTGCAAGGCGGGAAAGATGGAAGATGCCAAAAGAACCTTCAGGAGGATGAGTTTCCTGAGGTTTGAGCCGAATGGGCAAACATATATCTCTCTGATCAATGGGTATGTGGCTGGGGAGAAGTACTTCAATGTTCTTCTGCTGTGGACTGAGGTGAAGAGGAAGGTTTCGGTTGAAGGGGAGAGGAGACTGAAACTGGACAACAGTTTGGTGGAAGCTTTTTTGTATGCTCTGGTGAAAGGAGGGTTCTTTGACGCCGTGATGCAAGTGGTGGAGAAATCTCAAGAAATGAAGATCTTTGTGGATAAGTGGAGGTACAAGCAAGCTTTCATGGAAAAGCATAAGAAGATCAGAGTGTCAAAGCTGCGAAAAAGGAACACGAGGAAAATGGAAGCACTGGTTGCTTTCAAGAACTGGGCTGGTCTTAATGCTTAATGGCATAACTACCCTTATGGGTTCAATGATCCTCCGTAACGCCACATGATTGGGGTTTCATTGAATTTTGAAGTGATCTCGACCGTTCATTGACATATAGCCACAGTTCACTGGTTTTTCCGACGTGCAGGGTTATGTTTGGAAGAAATGGTGCTTTCTTCAAGAGGTTTTTTGTACGTGCCATATGTTTTAGCATCAAATTTTCACCTCTTGCAGTCTTGCTACTGTAAAACACACATTCTGCATTGCTCAGTTGAATATAGTGACATTGAATACATCCATCATTTCTTTGTAAATGTTTATGTTTGGAGCATATTGCTGCACACTGGTTCAGACTTTAAGAGTTTGGTAGTTTAGAAGCTTGTCACCCAATTCTAATCGGTTCTTGGTCTGATGGATCCAAGTTTCTCTAACAAGATAAACGGAATCATAGGCGAGTCCACGGGTTGAAAGGGTATAGCAGATTCGATATACTCTCTCCGTCCCCGTGTTTTTGTCCACATTTGACTTTTGGAACTGTTCATCTAAGCACTTTGACTCATCAAATTCTCTCAATGTGTAAGCCTAAATATAGTCATGTGTGATCTTGTTTGATTTGTCTTAACATATAGATTATTAATATATAATTTCTATAATTTTTTAATATACAAATTACAAGATAAAATGGATTAAAGAAGTGCATTGGATGATGTGTAAAAATGAAAGTGGACAAATACACGGGAACGGAGGGAGTAGAACAAATCCGATCTGGATCCTACCCCTTGACGGTTCTAACTTTGTGAATATAAATTTGGTGTTTGAAGACATAGCAGCAATCATGGGAGGTCTATCACACAATGAGAAAATTGAACACACAATCACCATTACCAAATCTCTCATTCTTTGCTGTGTTGCCCTAATTTGTCTTAAATCTTAACCCACATTGTACTTTACTCTATAAAAACTTCCCTATTAAAAGATAAATACTTCTTTGGTTCTAAGATAATTTTGTCTGTTTGACTTTTACAAATTTCAGAAAAATATATTTTCGTACAAATAAAAAATGTATTATTAGAGTGTATTTAGATGATAAAGAATTTTTTATGCTTACATGTTTATTACTAGAAAAATAAAATAATAAATATTTTTTACAACGCCCAAAATAAAATTTCAAATCATCGATGCAAAAGGGAATAACAATTGCCCTCTCGGCGTCTCCAATTAAATGGTTGTAATCCGTATCTCGTAAAGGTACATCTACATCTGCCAGAAAGTAAAAGTACTCGTTGTTTTGTCTGGAAAATGCATGTGAAGAAAACAACGGGGTCCTTAGCTCAGTGGTAGAGCATTTGACTGCAGATCAAGAGGTCACCGGTTCGAACCCGGTAGGGCCCTTTCTTTTTTTTATTTCTCAAATTCTTTTCGTCTCCAAGTTCACCCACATAAAGCAGAAACAGAAATGCCTGCAAGAAATAAATGTACCACAAATCCTTTTATAACCATATAACAATTCAACATAAGCATTTGTATATATACTACACCTTATAAGTTCCTAAAGAAAAAGAGGGGGAAAAAAACAACAAAAAAAATCTACTCTCTGCCCATATCAAAGAATGTACAAACACAATATCTTGTTTTTGTAACACAACATTTTGGCATGAGCATTTTTGTAACTATAATCTCGAATCTCTCTGTCACGGGAAGGGAGAGGAGGAGGAGGCGTTAGGGTTGACGACGATATGCTTGAGCGGGTGGGCCACGTCGGCCCCACCCGCATGCTTCACAAACTCGGCAGGCGAGAGGAAGCTTCCGTGGCAAACACACATTATTCTCACTTCTTGCCCTTTCCCGTACTTGTACAGTATCCCGTCCACTCTCCTACCGTTAGGACCGTCCCCTTTGGTGAAGACGCACGGCATCTCGTCCATCCCGGGGTTCCGTGCTTTCTCGCTCGTACACACGGCTTTGTCAGATGTACTTTCCATCTCGGTTCCTGCCATCCTACTTCCCACAATAATCGTTTTAACCCCAGACGTACCAACATCCTTCTTATGCATGTCATGTGTAGACTGGTAACTAGTTGGACTATGCTCACAAGAACCTGTAAAAGTACAAAAAAACAAGGAATAGAAGGAAACACAAAGGGTATTTTACAAAACACTCATTTCACCGGTAACTTCACAGAAAATCATTGTCTCCGTGTAAATGCGTAATTGTCAATGGTGGTGTCAGCATTGAGTTTTGTTCTTATAAAAGTAGTATTTTCCTTTACAAAAAAAGGACAACAAAAATCCCAAATGACTAATTCTATCAAATGCAGCACTTGTCATATAGTCTGAATCCTTTGTCCCCTTTGACATCTCCTTCACGTTCCACCATATTTTGACACGTGGCAGTGGTTCTCGCAATCTCTGGATTCGAATTTTTCCCCTGCCACGTGTTAAAATGTAACGAAATAGAATGCCATACGTGGCCTAGAATCAAGAGTGCTTATCTAAAACCTATTTAACATGTCCACCTACTTTAAATTGACCTCATTCTCTAACAAACAATGTAATGCCAACCTTGAAAGATTTCCCCACTACCCTATAAGGTTGTTTCTACTTAAAGTTAAAGAGCATTAGCATTTGGTTCCAGTTTATGAGTAATAAATCAAGAATGATCAATACTTTCAAATTAAGTTAAAGGTGAAAAGTCATTATTTTACTCCAAGATAGTAAAGTTTCATCCATTTCACAAGCTGCAAATCAAGTGAAGTCTTATGTGATTGTTGCTAATAATGGATTATGTGAGTTGCATTTAAAGAACTATGGTATTGCACATTTAATATTCTCATAAAAAAACTGTTAGAACTTAATAACATGTCTCCAAAAAAAACAGTAAGAATAGACGGTAATTAAATAAATACCTTGAAGAGATTTACTTTCAAATTCAGACATGGATGAAGAACTACCTCCCTGAGATTCAATTGATCCTTGGGGTGAAGGTTGCAAGGCTTTACTAAAATCGCCTCCTTTCCCCTTCTGCCCCGCCGCCTCCCAAGCCTGAAACCCCAACGATAACCCGAACAGCTTCGGCTCGGCTGCGCACGGCTCTTTCTCAAAATTCTTCTCATCTTCCGCGGCTGCGGAGATGCCTTTGTCCCCCCGTGAAATTCTCTGCTTCTCCGACATCCTTCTCTTCGCCTGCATTCTCCTCAGACTCTGCAATTCCTTCCTCTTCCTCCACTCCTCCTCCGTCTCCACCGGTAGGGACGACGTTCTGGCTATTCTATTCCCCGCCGCCGCCGCCGCCGCCTCTGTCTGGGGGTCGTCTCTCACACTCGGCAAAAAGGAAGCGACGGAAGAGGACCTGCCCAGATTCTTGGAACTTCTGTCCACCCCAAATCTCCCTCCCAAGGAAAGGCCCAGATTCAATTCGATTTCGGTATCGTCTTTCGCTGCCTCCAACGCGTCACCGACACTAGCTACCATGAACCTCTGCAACAAATCCCTCGAAGAACCTGGCGAATCTGAAGAAAGATTCCTCATTCTTCCCTCCTCCCTTCTCGGCTGTCTCCAATCAGCAACCCAACCTTAAACCCGCCGAAAAGCTCGAGTCTTTCCACACGCACATGCGCTTTGCACCAACTCAAGAACACCCAGATGCAGAAATCTCTTCTTTATCTGGATATGGCCACAAAGATTGAATCTTTATGCTATTTCCGGCTTCAAATCGACTGTAAAAGCAGTATTCAAATGGGAGGAAGCGGGAATATCGCCGGAAACCGGGACGGCGGCAAGATTCCGGCGAAAAGCAGGGGAAAAGTCAGGAAAATACGAAGAAGAGGAGAAAGAGGAGAGAGAGAGAGAGAGGAGGAGGTGTGTAGAGAGAAAGAAAGATGGGGAGCGGGGAGCGCGGAAGTGAGAGAAAGAGGGCGTGATGACGAAAATACCCCCGGATTTCCAGTGGGGTGGGGGGACGAGGAATGTACTTGGAAAGGACAAGTGGCGGAAGCGAGTGCGGGGAGAGGTTGACACGTGGACCTGACTAAAATAAGCCTTTTTTGGTTGGGTGTCTTCTCCTTCTCTCTCTTCTCTCTTCTCTCTCTCTCTCTTTATGATTTTACAGCTTCGAGAATGGACATGTGGAGGAATGCTAAGCTGCTGTCGACCACAGCGCACACTTGCGTGGACAAGTTGCCGGTGGGGCCCCCTTTCCTCTCCTTTTTAATGGAAATTGTAGGATTCCACTACAAAGTCTTCTCTTCTTCTTTATTGAAATTGTTTTTTATACAAAATTTTTTAAAAAAAATTATACTCCCTATAAAGAATATTTATGGAGAAAGAAGAAACAACATTGTGTTTCACTCCAATCTATCCCAAAAAAAGAATTACATTCTTAATTATTCAAAAGTGATACAAACTTTTATTTATTTATAGATTTTGACTGGTTATTTAATAAAATAAGATATTCTTTTCACCTTTTATTTTGTAATAGAACTTTTGTCGTAATTTTAAAATATGTAAGTATTATTTTTAATTTCTATTATAATTTTTAAATAAAATGAATTTTAAAAAATTGAAAATTTACTTCATTTTGCGTAAAATGTAAAACATTTTGGGACAGAGGAAGTATTTATTTTATCGGGTTTTCTGTGTCATTTATTCTTGAACTCTTCTAAAATTGCGCAGATCCCACTTGAATTTTAAAAATTGTACCAATAATCCTTGATTTTTAAAAAAGTTCCATCAATGAACCCTTTGTGATAGATTTGGCAATGCATTAATAAAACACTCATGAATATGCATGTTGGAATTAGATGAAGAGGTTGATCGATTGATGAAAAGCTTGATCGATTGATACCCGAGCTTCGAGTGAGATAATTGTCAGCAAAAACAAGAATAATTATATTATTTAGGACTCCGAGAGATTAAAATATAGAAGATTATGTTTGGAAAACATATTGCAGAACTCGCGTGTGATAAATGAGTTTAAATGAATCCATGCTTGCACGTACTATTGGATGAACGTGTGATTAGTGCACACCCAAATTTGGCACAGAGGGCTATAAATGCAATATTTTAAAAGGTTCAGAGACAATTTGTGTAATTTTTAAAGTTCAGATAATATTCGTACAATTTTTAAAGAGTTCAAGAGTAAATGGTAAAAAAACTCTTATTTTTTCTTAATATAGAATGAACATTTATTTTTAGACATTTAAGCCTAAAGAAGATTAGATATAAAGAGTACCTATATCATATATCTGGATGTACAATATTTCTCGTACATTCGCATGAATACTCATTTTCGAGTAACTCAATGTTCATTTCAAGCATAACTGAATTTTAAAGATATGAATATTCAACTATTCTAGAATGAGTGTTACTTGCTCAAAAATGCTCATTCACTTACTCGTAAATAAACACTTGCCGTGGATGTACGGAAAACACGGTACAACTGGTAAGAGTTTATACTCAGACTACACAGTGTGAAGTCGGGATTGCCGAGCTAGTGCCCGATTCCGATAGGGAANGTGTTATGGGTGAAAATCAGGCTCTAATGATTCAAAATCTAAATTTTCTTCTCTTTCGTCAATGTGTGGCTCCAGAGGGTTACTTAACTGAGAAATTTACCTAAATAGAACTAAAACATAATGACTTTCTCAATATAGGACCATATGTTTTTATTTCCCAATGTAGGACTTTTGGTCATTAACAAATAGTCATTATTCAAGTAAATGTCCATCACTACTGGACATTATTCTTTCCACTAGGTCATTATTAAGTCTTATTTAAGGAATAAAAAAATTTAAGTCCTACATTGGGAAAGTCATTATGTTTTAGTCCTATTTAGTGCAAATTTTACTACTTAAATATGGTGAAGCATTTAGGTTCAAATATGATGGATTCTCACTCAATCTCAATGTCATTTCAAAATACCTTTGCATCCTATATTGAAATTCAAATATATAATTTTTTTTATAAAGTTATAACATAAACTAATCATTTTAACATATTTGCAATCTTACAAACTACAAATCTAAATCACAATTCACAAATAACAAATTGAAAAAAATTTACAATTCATAAATAACAAATCTAAATTAAAAAGAATGCTTATATTTTAGAACTTTTAAATGAATGTAATTTCAATGTTTAAGCCTACGTAAGAATTTAATTTCAAGTAATGGTGGTAATAATGCAATACTTCTTTTTAATATTAATAAACAAAAAATTCTTACTAAAAATTTGAACTCAGGACTTTAGGAATTCACACGGACACCATTTCCATTCGGTCTACACTTCAATCATTTTCAGCAATGCATTTTAACAATATTTAAAGGGGTGGGGGGTGTGCTCGGGTCGGAACGGGATGAAGGTTACTGGGGGGTTAGGGATTAGAAACCATCAATTTTACGAACGGTGCACCGGAACACCCTCGGGTCATCCAATGACATTGCCGGGCAATGTCATGGGAATCTTGGTGTGTGTGTCTCTCTCTCTCTATACACACACACACACACACATACACATATACATACACACACATATATAGACAAAATTACGAAATTTCTGCGGGGTCGCGTGACCCCGTGTGACCCAACGTGGGTTTACCCATGAATTCTATAGTTCTATCTTATTAAAATTCTAGGAATTTTTCTTACTAAATAAAAACAACATTCTTAACCAAACATGAAAAAATCAAGAATAAGCTTGTCAATATTTTTTGGGAGTAAAAAGATAACTTGAATTAAATATTAATATATACAAAGAGTATTTTATGTCATATATTGTTTAAATTCAACTCGTAGTTGTACCACCATAAATCAAACATGAGGACAACCTATGTACCATTTTGAAAAGTATATAACTTAATGGCCCAGTTTTGAGAGTTCAAGGGATCGTAATGACGTATATTTTATGAAGAGTTGGGTAGAAATAACACAAAAAACAATCAAATATAAATGTATACAGATTGTTTGTATATTACTCAAAATAAGGATAGCGAGTTTAACGGCCTAATAGCATGGGCGTACCCCGTGGTTTACAAAACGGACGTCAAAACTCTCTCTATTTTCAAAACCTATTTGTAAAGTTTTTATGGTTTCTAAATAGAGCACAATGTCATCTTATCTATTTTTAAAGCAAAAATGACATTTATGCCCTTTCTTTTTCCCGATCTTGAATTTTCCCAATTTTATTTTATTTTATTATACAAATACATAAAATAAAATATACGCTTCCCATCTCAAATTAGATTTTTTTATAATGTATTTTTGAAACCAAAAGATTTTTTTTAGAGAATGTTACAAAATAAATGAAAAATAAAATATTATGTGCAAAGTAAAAATAATAATTGAAAAAGGTAATGAAAAGAAATAAAGAATATAAAAAACAGTCTTTTTCTTTAACTAAATATTTTATTTCATCTTCCTGTTCTTCATTTTTTAAAGTCCTTAAAAAAATTTATTTTTAAAAAACAAATAAGTTAGAGTTTTTAATTAGAGATAGAGTGAGTATATGTTATCAATTTTTTTTATTTATTTTACTTTTACTTATAATAAAAAAGTGTATTTATGTCATTTTTTAATTTTTCATTTTTTTGTAACATTTTCTAAAAAATATATATTTTTGAAAATTAAGTAAATGAAAATTTTTAATTTGAGAAAGAGAGCGTATATTTTATTTTATTTTATTTATTTGTGCAAAAGAAATGCAAATAAAAGTGTGAAATTTGAAGATACAGAAAAAAGTAAGGGCAGAAATGTCATTTCATGTCTAAAAATAAGCAAGAGGGGGCGTCTGTTGACCATTTAAACACCACAGACTTTTTACAAATAACTTTTGAAAGTTGGGAAAGTTTGGACGCTCCTTTTGTAAATCACGGGTGACACCCATGCTATTACCCCTAACAAATGCGTAGTAAATGATTATTCAATTGGTTGTACATGCAGATGGGATGTGAAACAAATTTTGTATAAAATTTCGAAATTTGTCTTTGTTTGCCAATATGGTCGCTTTAATAAAATACAAATAATAAACTAGAGTACTCGGTATTTTTTTTAGTATTATTGACTATATTTCATTATTATATTTGTACGAACATTTTCAATATAAAGGCATCTGATCCCCCCAATGCAAGGAGTCTTGGGACTGTTTTCTTTATTTAAAAGAAATCATCCTAAATAAGTGTTTACACACAGAGACTATCAAAATAAGAGTTCAATATTTTTATTACTTACATAGGAGTTCGCATTGTAGCAATGTGGCACTGCAGATGTGCATTTTACTATACTTTTTGGTAATGTACATTGTCAGTGGTAATGTAAATGCAATTTTGGTATGTTTTCAATTTCTACTCGTAATTTAGTCTTTTTTCCTTTATTTAACTAACATTTATTTCTATTTAAGCAATTATCTAGAACTCTCTCCATCCCGGCCAAGGGTGGTCCGAGGCTGAGCGTGTCAACCAGGGCCGAGCGCATGAAAGTCTCGATGCGGCAGCGGCCCTCTTGAGACTTCAGTTTCTTTATAGTTTCGCTCAGCTGAGTGGGCCTGACTTGACAGGGTTGGGCCGCTAATTCTGTTAGGCCAAATACCCTCATCCCAGAGTATCCATCAGTCAGAATTTCATTAAATAAATTTAATTGTAAAAGTAAATCTGAAATTTCAAAGACTTTCTTCCCAACCTACTTATTTTTTGTCTACCCAATGGTAGAGATTAAAAAAGGTCGTAAGAAATACTTCTTCCAAAATCTTTTGATTGTGTACCCAAAAAAAATACTCCCTATAACATTCCAAAAATCTTAACAATATTTTTCAAAGCCAATTCTAAAAAGTCCCTCTTATGCATTGTTTTTTTATTAGTGATTCTCAATTTCTGTACTAATTAGAATTTGGGATCTTTTGGATTGTAATTTTAGAGTTAGATGTTAAAAAAATTAGAAGGAATTAAAAGAAAATGAAAGGAGGTAGTAAGAACCGGAAATTTGAAAATATTAGAAAAAAATAAAATATTAAAAATACTCAATTAATTGATCGCATAAATAAATATGTAGAAAAATAATAATTTTAGTTGAAAAAATTCATAATTATTTATGTTTGAAGTGATATGTTAAAATATACTCTCTCCGTCCCAAAAAGATTGGTACATATTGACTTTTTGGAAAATTAAGGGAGAGATATTTTGGCGTTGACTTTTCAAAAATACCCTTGATGTGATGGGTAAAAGTAGGATGTCATGAATAGATTATTAGAAAAAATGTATCATGTGATAGGTAGGGTATGAAAAAGTAAGGGATAAAAGTAGTTTTTTAATAGAAATGTAACAAATTTTACGGGGCGCAGTTTTTTTGAAACGTGTCGGACTTTTTGGGACGGAGGGAATATATAATGTTATTTTATATCCACCGTATATAAATACTATTTTTAAATCATTTTTGGAAAAAATTAGAATACATTGAAAAAACTGAAAAGAGTTAGAATTTGGTACCATGATAAAAACAAGGACTAGCTGAAAAGAGCAGAGAGTGAGAATATTTTTTTCGGAGACAAATTTTTTTATAATGGGCAGAAACAATAATTTTTATTGTTCACAACAGATGAATGAGGGGAAAAAAATAGCTATAAGTGAAAACCAAAATACTAAAGCATTTTTTCAACGTTTTCACCATCTCAGGCACACACACACTTCACCTGGTGCGAGGTTTCTGATCATTGTGTGGCCCTCCCCCTCCATTCTGCCGCCGTGGTTCATTCCTCTCTCCGTCATGCATCCGCCCATCTGACCGCCCATTTCCCTGACGACGATGATGACCAGCATTTCCGTTGCTCGACCTCTGATCCACGCCACGCTGACTGTTGTTTCTGTCAATGTGGCTTTTCTGGCGTCTCTTTTGATAAATGGTAAATCCATCCTCGTCTACCTCTGGAGCCGCCATTCTGCCATTGTTTTCCTGCTGGCTGCTGATGTGGCGTGTTTTGCCATTGTCAGTGCTGACGTGGTGCATATTGCCGTTGTCGGCCTGATGGGTGCTGACGTGGCGTGCCCTGCCGTTGTCGGCCTGCTGGCTGCTGACGTGGCGCGTTTTTCCATTGTTGTTGGCGGGATGGCTATTGACATCACCGTTTTGGGACCGGTTTGATTGGCCGTTTTGTCTGGCGTGGCGAGGACTATCGCAAGAATACGTTGACGGGGCACGACTGGATGGAGTCCTGCTGTGGGACCCGTTGCCTCTGCCCGTGGGAGACCTGCCGCGGTTCTCATTGCCACCATTAGAAGCTGCACAGCATAATTAGGGGTTCGCCCCAATCATTTTTCCGTGTCTCTACAAGGATCACGCTATAATAACACCATGCTACATATGGCATTTTTTTTTAAATGATGATCTTTCTAAAAATAGTTGTCAAAAAGCATTGATTTTTATTAATATTTTTTAGAAAAAGTGGGGTTCCTATGAAAAATTATGCAAGGGGTGGGTTTTAAAAAATGTCTTTTTTTAAAAAAAATAAAACTTAATCTAAAAGGTGGTTTTTTAAAAAATATATAAATGCATTTTTTAACATGTGGTTTCACAAGACAAGATGCATTACCTCTCTTAGCAGATGACTTGTATGATATACGAGCTTCCTTTCCTAGTACAGTGATGACTTTAGCCTGCGAAGAAGAATTAAGGGCAGTTTACAACAACATTCCTATATAGAGTTCACCAAACAGGGCTTAGATGAAAATGAATGAGTTACCTCAACTGCCTTCTTTGCAGATTCTGCAAACTGGAAATGAACAAACCCAAAAGAGTAACTTCCATCTGCAGCTCTAATGACTTTAACACTATCAGCAAACTTATTCACTCTCCCGAACCCCTTCACCGCAGAAGCAAGATCTTCTACGCTTGTTTCCGGCAACAACCCCCCAATATAAATGCCCTTTGCTGGAAAAAAACAGACAATACAAACACATTTTGTTGGATTTTTTCATTGTTCATTTATCAAAGAATAAACAATGAAAAAGAGATGATAAATAATACTTACGGCCTATGTTGTTATTCTCGCGTACACTGTTTTTTGGGGAAGGAGTTTCGGGTTTTGTCTCGGAAGCCAAAGTCATAGCCCTCCTTGAGCCATTTTGCAGAGCTCTTATTTTGGCCTTCTCTTCCTCAGGGAGGAAAGCAAGGGCAGAAACCCTGACAATATTAGTAGATGGTATGGGAGAAGAGCTCGTTTTGCCCTTAGAAACCTGTATAAAAAATACATTATGTTAAATTTCATTTAATAATTGGAGAAATATAGCATATATATCAAAACCTTACCATTTCTAAGTAAGATAACTTAGGAGCATCCTCTTTTGGTGCTTCAGAAACAGTACCATTAACGTCCTTAACCTCAGGGACAGACACTGGAACTGTAGGCGCAACCTCAGGAACAGCCGCTGCTGCCTTCTCAACTTCCTTTACAACAACCTCAGAAACTTTCTGATCTGTATTAGCAGGAGCCTCAACAACCGGAACTTTCGGCTCGGGCTCTACGGCTGTTTCGCCAATAGTTGGTTCCAAAACCTTAGCATCATCAGACACTTGAGAGACATCACTCACATTGTCCACATCAACAACAGTGGGTTCTTTTACCGCTGGCTCTGAAAGAAGATGTGGAGTTTGTGTGAATAGACATCAAATGTTTAATGACACAAATATGTGCCTGTTTGAAAATAATTTCAGCATTTTGAAAAAAAAAATCTAACGACAACATTTAGCTCTAGTATAAGTTAATCTTCACTACTAAAAAATATCCAAAAGTGCTAACACTATTGAAAACATTGTTCCCAAACAAGGCCATAGTAAAAATGCCATATGACTTAGGATGAATACACTATACACAACTCCCTCCAAGTGTGATTTTCATAAAATTCTAAATAATCCAATTTTCAACCCTAGCAATTCAAACCAAGCAACCAAATCAATCCAAACATGGCTCAAAACAAATGCAATTACCTGAATTAAAAACTACTTGAGATGGCACTTCTCTAATATCTTCTTCGTCGACAAAATAAAGGATATCGTTTAATACATAAAATGTGATTTCTTGCCCAGCCAGAACGAATGTCTGAATAAATTTCCTCGACTTTTCTTTCCCAGTGGCAACACCACTGACCACAACAAGAATAGTTCCATGTACAGAATTCTGGGTGCGGATGTCATCAATTTGAAAAATGCAATCTTTGAAGTCTGAAGACAGGATCATGTCATGTATTCCCTGCACCATCAGTGAACAATTCAATAAGTACGATTTTTCCCAATGCAATGAACTCATAATATTCGGAAGGTTACAACAAAAATTACACAAAAACAACGGAAAGGGAAAACAGGCCAAGATAGTTAATTTCAGGAAACAGTTAAACCGGCTTTTTTCAAGAACCTGCCAAACACTCATATATGTAACAAATCAAAGAGAACATAATACATTGTGGAGTATGTTCTTACTTCTTGTGTTGTGACACAATCTTTCATATCCCATGTGGCCAAACTCGCATTTTCATAAAACCCATGACTTGCTTCTGGTTTCATATGAAGAATTGTGTAGTACCGCTCAACGAAGGCTCGCCCAACTATATCGCTGCTTAACTTTGCCATCTCTGCATCACAATTACTCATGATGAGTATGCATATAACCGTAACTAACCTACTAAATATTCCATATTCTACAAAAAAAACTGCATTCGCGTTTGAGATTTATGCTCGAATTTGAGCACCATGTTTGCAGCACAAATTACTATGATCTGAATATCAAGAATCTCGAGGGAAAGCTATAAAAATAGAACCTTTAAGGGTAAATAGTTTCGGATCAGCGCTCAGTCAATCATAAGTGGTGGTGGGGAAAAAAAGAATCAAATATCCAGCAAAATTGAAATCAACGGCAAGATAAAAGAAAGAATTTCAATTTCTTGAATACGAATTTCGAACGGAATCGCAGGGGGAAACATAAATAGTTAGAAACCCTAATAATAAAGAAGAGAAGGCCGCTGCGAGATGAAGGGTACCTGAGGAAGACGGCTAACGGAGAGAGGAGAGATTGAGCGTTTATTTATAGCGTGAAACCCTCTGAGATTTGCGCTAATTCATGAGAGGCGGTTTCCGCCCCAATTAGAGTGGGGATTGGGGTGCAATTTTGAAGTGATGATGGGGTCAACATAATATTAGGGTTACTTGCTAACCAAGGTTTGCCACCTCATTGGCGCGTGGGTGGAATTGATTAATTGATCCGGATTTTAATCACTTTCTTTTTGGTAATTTATTTATTGGATACTCTTAACTACTCGGTATATTTGTTTGGAAGATGAAAAATAAGGATGGAAAGAAAACAAAAGATGGAAAGTAAAGGGGTTAGAGGATATAGGACCTCTTAAAGAATAATCTTAGAGATTAGTGTTAGCGTTTTGAAAAGGTTATTTACGGACACTTTTTAGTACTCCTTCCGTCCCAAAAAGAATTTTCTGTTTCATTTTTTGCGCATCCCATAAAACACTTCTACAGACATCTCAAATGCCTAAAATTTACAACATTTCTTCTTTATTGTGGATAGAAGTTATTTTGAAAGTCTTTTTGGCATTCAAGGCGGGATAGAAGTGTTTTATGAGATGCGTAAAAAATGAAACAGGAAAGACTTTTTGGGACGGATGGAGTATTAACGTTTTCAATGTAATTTGTATCGTTAAATTTTTTTCCAAAACGCTAACGCGCGCTAATCTATAACATTATTTCGAAATAGGTCTATAGTGTGTTTGGGAATGACTTTTTTAATTACCCCCTATTTGGAAAATATTTTAGGAAGAAAAGCAAATTCATGATGGAAAACTTGGGAGGAAAAATTAAAATTATTTTCTCTCTTCTTGTTTGGATATTTTAGGAAGGAAAGAAAATAAACTTGTTTTACCTTTTAGTTAATTGAGTGAATATAATAAGTTTAATTACTCTGTACTATTTAAACTTTCTTCCGAGTAAAAGTAATGTTACCCTTAAATAACATTTTCACAAGTTTAAAGCTACTTATTGAAATTGTTGCTACACAGACCCCAATCGATGTTGACACTTTCACAAGTTTGCTCCCAATTTCTAAGAGAAAAAAATGTCAAATTTTTAATCAAATTGGTATTTTTTATATATGCCACGCAGGAGGTCGAATTAATGTTTTCAAATGTGGATTACGCTTTAACTATCATCCATTATGCATGTAAAAAAATCGAGTAAGATATAGTATATTACTAACATATCAATGTAATGAATGACAAAACAAATACGGAGTAATATGAGAAGTGCTAAAAGGGTGTTAATATCTGCCACATTTTAAATTTTATACAACTTTATATTTTGCCATGAATATCAGTAAAAGTTGGCCAAATTTTGTCATTAATTGGATTATTTTTTATAAACAATTCACACCAATACTCCGAGAATTTCAATAGTTTACGTAAGTACTCCAAAATTCAATAAATGACATCAATGCTCCCAAGTGTTTTCTATAGAGAAATGTTAGATTCACAAACAAAATGGTCACAAAATTCATAAACTTACTATTTATGAATTTCAATAAAAAATGTTAAAAAGTCTAAAATAATTTTAAAATGAAAATTTTAACTATAAATGGTAAGTTTGTGAATTTGTGATCATTCTCTATGTGAACCTATCGTTGTTCTTTTCTATATTAACACGGGCACTCCAAGATTTGAAATATGTTTACATTAATGCCCCAACATTTGGAGCACTGAAGTAAACATAATTATTTTTCGGAGCAACGATGTAAATATAGGAAACTTTTGGGAGTATTGGTGCCATTTAATGAATCTCGAAGTATTTGTGTAAACTTTTGCATTTATGAGAGTATTTGTGTGAATTTTTCCTATTTTTAATTAGTCAGTATTAACTAACAGTCATCGTTATGTTGCTATTTAGCGATGAATATGTTAAAATTTACTTACACCAATTTTCCCTAAAAAATTGGATTTTGCAAAAAATTTGTGAAGTTGCAAAGGGTACCAAAGTCTATGAAAAGTCCTTACTTTTACTCACTAAATAGCAACATAACGAGGACTGTTAGTTAATACTGACTAGTTAAAAATAATCCAACTCATGACAAAATTTTGCCAACTTTTACTGATATTCCTAGCAAAATATAAAGTTGTATAGAATTTAAAATGTGGTAGATATTAACACCCTTTTAGCACTTCTCATATTTTTAACATAACATTTCCTAGAAAACTACATCTATTTGAAGAAGAAGAAAAAGGCTGAAAAATTATGAAAGCTCTAGTAACTACATAGTTGATTGGATTTAATTTCAATTTAATCTGGAGTGAGAGGTATATTGATAAAAAGAGTTAAATGTATCAAAAAATTAGGAAAAATTACCCAAAATAATCTCAACTTTACTCGGTCTTTCAAAAATAATCACACCTTTCACTGTAATGCATAATAATCCCAACTTTACTAAAATTTGTCAATTTTGGGTCGTCATTAAGTTTCTAACGGAGGAATAACGGATATGCCCGTTTTAGGCAACAAAATAAAAGTTGGGATTATTTTTTATGAATTTTTGTTTTTTAATTTTTTTGAAATTTTTATTTAAATTTTTTGAATTACTTTCAACCTTCATTTCTTTTTCTTTTTTTAAAGATTATTCTTACCTTAGAAAAAAAATAGATATAGAAAATAATGAAAATGAGAAAAAATAACTAAAACATACAAAATTAATCAAATAAATAATGTAATATTTATTTTATTTATTACCAGTTTCTGTTTAATTTCTATTGATTACATTATTTATTTGATTAATTTTGTATGTTTTAGTTATTTTTCTCATTTTCATTTTTTTTATATCTATTTTTTCTAAGGTAAGAATAATCTTTAAAAAAGAAAAAGAAATGAAGGTTGAAAGTAATTCAAAAAATTTAAATAAAAATTTCAAAAAAATTAAAAAACAAAAATTCATCAAAAATAATCCCAACTTTCATTTTGTTGCCTAAAACGAGCATTTCCGTTATCCCTCCGTTAGAAACTTAACGGCGATCCAAAACTGACAAATTTCAGTAAAGTTGGGATTATTATGCATCACAGTGAAAGGTGAGATTATTTTTGAAAAACCAAGTAAAGTTGAGATTATTTTGGGTAATTTTTCCAAAAAATTAATATTAAGTACTACTCCCTCCATTGTATAAAACACGTTAACCCTAATTTTTGCACACTTCATTAAATACTTTTACCTCCTCCTAAAATGTCTAAAATGAAATTCATTGTGAAGTTTATTGCGGGTAGAAGTTGTTTTGAAGGTATTTTAAACACTTTAGGTAGTATAAAAGTGTTTTAAGGGAGCGCAAAAACTTAGGATAGAAGTATTTTGTGAAATGAGTTGAGTAGTATAAAGGGGCATTGGTTAAAAAATTAACATTAAGCAATATAATTAGTCACTCACATTTTTTTTCTTTAAACAAAAATAGAGTTTTTTTAAAAATTGATGGAAACTTTTGTTTAAAAAAATTCTCTCCATTATACTCCCTCCTTCTATAAAAACGTGATTAGAAAACAAAGTCTTAGGGGGTGTTTGTTTTTCTGCCAGAAGACCTTCTGGCGTCTTTTGTCTGCGTCGCGCAGATGATGGGCTCTGCAGATTGTTTGTTTGTTGGAAGACATTTCACTCAAAAAGGTCTTCCTGGCATCTTCTTGGAGAAGACATTAACCAATGTCTTCTAACATCTTCTCCTTTTTTTTCTACTTCTCTTCACCACCACAACCGTCCACCGCCACCGTCCACCGCCACCGTCCACCATCACCGTCACCAACCATCACCATCGTCGTCCACCACCACCGCCACCATCCACCGCCACCACCACCACCGTCTACCACCACCGCCGTCAACGTCCACCACCACCCTCCACCACCACCACCATCGTACACTACCACCATTAATTTATATAGCAGTCTACAGACATTAAAAAAATAAACAGTCTTCTTCTTGCAGACCGCAGACCTTCGGTCCACCACTTCTCCTGCAGATGTCTACAGTAGTGGTCCGCAGACCGCAGACCTTTTCCTGCAGAAAAAACAAACACCCCCTTAGAGAAATTTTACACAACCTAAATGAATTATGTAATATGTATCGTTTCATATAAGGTTGCACTTAAAGTTTCAAAGGGTACATTTTTTAATAGTTTATGTGTCACAGTGATTCTAAATAAAAGTTAGGGCCAAACATTTTTTTTCCAGAGGATTACTTTTTACTAAATCAGTATTTACTTTCGGTTATTAATTTTATATTCTTATTTCGTAAGTGGAAGAAAAGGTCGGGTTGAAAGTATTAGTTTTAGATGTTTTTTGTATTATTTATAACATCACACAAAATTTTATATACATTAATTTTTCAAAATGTTCTAATTTAAATAAGAGTTCGACATATTAATTTTCATATGTATATAGTAAAATTTTCATTAGCAAATATTATATATTTTATTATTTTAGTTTGTAAGGTTAATGTTTTATTTTGCTTGATATTTGAAGAATGATGTAGCAAAGAAAATTTTTAAAAACAGAAAAAAAATTCATTTCACTCCGCGTATGGCACGAGTTAAAATACTAATTCAGGAAAACCAAAAGTAAGTTTAGCAACATTCAATAATAAATTATCCACACATGTAAGAAAAAAGGTTTCTATGTCACTTTAATTTCTTTGTCAAAATGTAGTACTAGTTTTTTGAACATTAGTTACTCGCATAAAGAGTTATTATCCACACTAAGCTCCTGTTCTTTAGGGCTTGAACTCTTAATTTCCAGTTTCTTTGTTACTTTAATTTCTTTGTCAAAATGTTTTAATATATAATTTATAATTACAAATACATTATTTATAATAAATACTGCATAAATAAATTGAGGTACAATATAACTACACAACCTTTTTAAAATTTAATGTTTTTATATTTATGCTAACTTTATATTATAATTATTTTTTGTAAAAGTAGTTTTTTGTATTTAAAAAATAAAAATACTTTTTTTTATATCTTAAAGACATTCACTAAGATAACGTGATGATGATGATTATGTTGATGATTATGATGATGATGATTATGATGTTGATGCTGATGATGATGATAATAATAATTTATAACAAAAAGAATTTAAAATAAATATTTTTCAAGTTTTTTTTAGGTTTTCCAGTTTTTTTCTAGTTTCTTCCAGTTCCTTCCCGTTTTTTTCAGTTTCTTCCAGTTTTTTCCAGTTCCTTCCAGTTCTTCTACTTCTTTCCAGTTTCTTCCAGTTTTTTCAGTTTCTTCCCGTTTTTTCCAATTTCTACCAACATCCAACTCTTTTTTTTACAGTCCTAAAGAACAGGCCCTAAGAGAGCAAATTAGGGATCGATTCCCATGACATTGGGAACTAATGTCTTGTGAGTGCGATGATCCGGTGGTGCTCTGGTGTCCCGTTCGTAAAATTAATAGTTCCTACCCTCTAAACTACCTTGGGTAAACCCCTCCAGCCCGCCCTGACCCGAACCACCCCCACACCCTTCAATTGCACCCCGAAGTTAATTTTAACTTTGGAGTTAAATTTTGACTTCAACTTAAAATTAACTTGGGGGGTGGGGAGTGTTCGGCTCAGGGCGGGGTGAAGGATTTTACTGGGGGGTTAGGGGGTAGAAAATGTTAATTTTATGAATGAGGCACCGGAGCACCCTCGAGTCATAACCAATATCATGGAAACCAAGGGGGGCAAATTAAAACTCCCTCTGTCCCTTAAACTCCTTTCCCTTTCTTTTTTTCATCTCACCAACTCCTTCCCGCATCTATTAAAAAACCACTTTTACCCTTATTTTTCATACCATATCTATCACATTATATCTTTTTATTAATAATTACTCATCACATCAAGAGTATTTTTGGAAAGTTAATACCAAAATATTCCTTTCTTAATTTCCCAAAAGGTCAATAAGAGAACGACTTTAAAGGACGAAGGGAGTAATATATTACGGAGTATTTGGGATAATAGCCTTTATGTGGCTAAACTACAAAGTACTCCATATTGACCTTGTGTGAGAACAACTTTTTCGATTAATGTTAGGTCCTATTTGATACATGGAATTCAAACTATGGAATTTGAATTGGAGACTTCAATTTCAATTCTGGTGTTTGTTAGCACAAAAATTATGTAGATTTGGAATTGATAGTGCAAAAAATGAATTAGAATTGACAGAATTCAATTCTATGAATTGAATCTTATGGAATTTTAATTCCAATTCAATTCCAATTCTACCAATTCATTATACCAAACGGACCGTTTTGATCAGTAAGCGTTTCTTATTAGAGTTAAGCTAACGGACCTGTTTGGGAATAGCGTTAGCGTTTTGAAAATGCTATTTACGGGCAGCGTTATTCGTTTTCAAAGTAATCTACACCGTTAAAATTTTATCCAAAACACTAACGCTAATCACTAACGCTATTCCCAAACAGGCCCAACGTCTATCTTTTTTAAAGTGATAAGCTCAATATTTGATACTCCCTCCGTCCCACTTTAGATTACAATATTCCTTTTTTGTTGAAATTAAGGAAGAGTCAAATCAAATTTTTTTCCCCAAATTACCCCCCAAATCCCCCAAGTATCCTTCCATCTCGCATGGATGAATAATGTGTGAATAGTGTAGGAGTGGGAGGGTAAAAGAGTCAATTCCTTGTAAAGTTATTGACTTTGTAATTCTTTTTTAGACAAATATGTGAGGGAATATTGTAATCTATTTCGGTCAGGATGGAGGGAGTATGAATTTTTTTTAAATCTGGGCCGAACCTAAATTTCATGCATAGGTATGGAGAAAATGTATCCGGCCCGAATAGGACGAAAGCTAATACTCAACTGATTCAACTCCCTCCCCAGTCCGGTCAAGTTGCAGACTTGCAGAAACTCTTTGGGGAAGACAGAGAGAGCACTACGCCCAGGGGAACCGGCGACGGCGAGATTGTCGATTGTTCTACAGTCTACAGTCCGCTTTAAGTCGTAGATTACCGATTTTAGCATCTTGAATTCGTTTCTTCACTTAGAAATTTCAATTTCTAGTGAAATTCTTCAATTGCCAAATCCTTGTAGCCATAGAAGCTGACAACTTCGTAACCTAATCTGAAGAAAACGGCCCAGAAACACCCAATATAATCTTCTAATGGACAGCGGCGGCGGAACTGAGCCAGGCGTCAGAGAGTGGACGGCGGAGGAAGCCGTTGCTGGGAATGCAGAGGCCATCCGTACCCTGAGGGAACTCATCATGTATCCGCTCCTCTATTCTCAAGAGTCTAAAAAACTTGGACTCAAAGTAATTTGGATGCAATTATATCTCTATATATATATTCCCCCNTATTAATTAGTGGTTTTCTTCTATTCTCTTCATATAGTGGCCTCGTGGTTTGTTGCTATATGGTCCACCCGGTACTGGTAAGGTATGCCATTTTTCACTTGCCTGTCTACTATAATCTACTCCTTATAATTTAACTTGATGCCATTTGAACTGCCAAAAAAAGGATCTATTTTGAAATTAATGTTTCGGTAATATATTACGAATTGCAGACAAGTTTGGTTCGAGCTGTTGTTCAAGAATGCGGAGCGCATTTGACTGTTATTAGGTACGGAGTACTTTAGTTTCTGATGTTTTCTCGAGTCATGTCTGGGATTTAGTTCTTTACTGTGCAGTACAATTACAGCCGTACAATCCATATTATTAAATGAAGTGGATTTGATTTTCACTGATTTCTGTATAAGGATGTGTAGTAATTGTAGGAGCATGTGCTACTCTGAAAACATTCGAATGTTTTTAGCTTCTTTCTGCATCAGCTCATCATGATATTACTGTGGAGATTGTTATATAATTACATTGCTATGAAGAATCTCAACACCCAACTCTTTGTTTGGGAGAATCATATGGTTGTTTTGATGTTTCTTTGTTTTGAAGCCCACACAGTGTTCACACTACATATGCTGGAGAAAGCGAGAAAGTTTTGCGGGAAACATTTGCAAAAGCATCATCTCAAGCAAAGCTTGGGAAACCATCAGTTATCTTCATAGATGAAATTGATGTGCTTTGCCCTCGTCGTGATTCTAGGTGATCAATTAAATTAGTACTTCATTTCTCTCCTACATTGTTCTTTACTTTATTTGAAAGCTTTATTACTGAGAGTTCTCTCTATGCATTTGTTTGTTATAAATTTCTGACATAAGTTTTCAACTCTCTTGTTGAGTCTGCCTTGCAGAAGGGAACAAGATGTTCGTATAGCGTCTCAACTATTTATGTTGATGGACTCCAATAAGTCGTTTTCAGCATCTGGAGTACATGTAGTAGTTGTAGCAGCAACTAATAGGTAGGTTCAACCGTGCAAGTAATACTTCAAGGGAGTAAATTGTCGTTTTCCGTTTATGTATTGATGAATTTGGATACGCTTTTCTTCTTAACAGACTAGTCAGCTTGCATCATATCCTAATGAAGTACTGAGTTTTTTTTTAAATTCTACTCCATATTTATTTTTTTATGCTTGAGTAATCAAATATCGTTCAAGGCTGAGGTTGTCTGAACCAAATTGAGCAACCAATGGCTGTAATTAGAGAGAATTCCCAAAACGGTCCTTTCCCAAGTTAGTCCTCAATAAGCAATAATTACCAACATGATCCTTTGTAATTGAGATTTATTCCCTAAATAGTCCTCCGCAAAAAATGTCTGTTAAATAGCTAGTCAAATAAAGGGTATTTTGGTATTTTCTATCATCTAGACTTAAAGTATGTTCTCGAAATGCTCCTTTATAATTAAGTATTTTTGCAAAACAATAATTTCTAAATGAATGTTTTCTCAAAATAGAGTCCATGAGCCTACTTGGGGTGGTCCGTTCTTCAAGTAGTCACCCACTTAATTTGAAAGGACCATTTTGAGGACTTATTCATAGTTTAAATGATGGAATACATCTCAATTACAAAGGACCGTATTGGTAATTATTGCTTATTGATGACTAATTTGGGAAAACACCTTATTAAAAAGGACCATTTTGGGAATTTACTCATTTTTTAAAAAAATTATCAGATATCACACCATCCTCTTGTTAGATTTTCTAAAACTTGCAGATGTACTCTATTTCATTATTAAAGGTGATCTCTAATTTGGTATTGTTGCTTTTGGGTGTACCACCATTTGTACCATGAAGATGGTGATGTGCCATGATTGCCTCTTGGTCCCAACCAGAGAAAGCCAACCTTTATATGTTGGGATCATGATGGGTTGGGGGATGGTATTCTTCATTTTCTATTATAATAGAGTAATATTAATTCTCTCCATAATGACGGGGGATGAAGCATCTCCTTTTGAATCTACCAAGCGTTTGGATTCTTAAGACCGTGCTATGATCTCCGTGAATTGTATACACCAACCATAATTTGTGTATCAGTTGTGTATATCTAATTTGTTGTATTCTTTACATTTTGTACATTTGTTACTTTCAAGTGTTACTTAGGATTAACGTTAGGGTCATGTGATGTATGTTCAGAGTGGATTCAATCGATCCGGCTCTGAGAAGGTCTGGGCGTTTTGATGCTGAGATTGAAGTCACAACCCCTAATGAAGATGAACGCTTTCATATCCTCAATGTAAAATGCACAACTTTGAGTCTATATTTTTTATGTGTCTGTTGAATTATTTTGATCAGAATGGCGAGAAAATATACAAATTGCAAGGAAAGATACCGCATGAGCCTGTGGATAATACAGAAAAAAATAAAGACCTCCGATTCCCAATGAAGCTCTAATATTTACAAAAAAGACTAATAAAAGAATTCATGGGTAAAGAGAAATATATTTATTGTAGGCCTTATCATTGTCCAGGTTATTATTGGAGAAGGATTCACCGGTAAAGAGAAAAATATTTATTGTTGGCCTTATTGTAACTAGGTTAGTTGTCAAATAAATCTATCCTCTGCATGATGAATGAATATAATACTGTTTAAGGTTTTTGGAATTGCTGGCGAGTGATCTTAGTGTTGATGCTTTGCAGCTTTACACAAAGAAGCTTCCATTGGAACCCAATGTTGACCTGCGGGCAATTGCCGCTTCTTGCAATGGTTATGTTGGTGCAGATTTGGAAGCTTTATGTCGCGAAGCTTTTATGTCTGCATTTAGGCAATCGTCAAAATCAAATCAAGTAGATGGCTCTTGGAACATAACAATGGATGACTGGAGGCATGCTAGGTCTGTTGTTGGTCCTAGTATAACACGAGGTGTAGTTGTGGAAGTTCCAAAGGTTTCATGGGAGGATATTGGAGGACTTAAAGACATAAAGGTTTGCACTTGTTGCCTTGGGCTTCATTTGGTAACATCACTATACTTATTCTTCTACTTGCAAAATAAAGAGCATTTGTATTCTACCAAATAATCATTATCAGGCCGGATCTTGGTATGTCTGGGTAAAATATCTTCAAACAATTAGTTTACTTGATTTATGATACAGAAAAAGCTCCAACAATCTGTTGAGTGGCCATTAAGGCATTCCGAAGCATTTGCTCGGTTGGGAGTATCACCTATTTGTGGGATCCTTCTTCATGGACCTCCGGGGTGCTCTAAAACAACACTTGTAAAAGCTGCTGCTCATGCTGCACAGGCTTCCTTTTTTTCCTTGAGGTCTGGGATGAAATTTTACCTCTCTGTCCATGCTTAATTGCATCCCCCCCCCCCGAAAAAAAATAATTCCATTATAATGCACCAGTGGGGCAGAGTTGTATTCGATGTATGTCGGTGAGGGCGAGGCTTTGTTACGCAATACATTTCGAAGAGCTCAACTTGCGGCACCAAGCATAATTTTCTTTGATGAAGCAGATGTTGTTGCTGCCAAACGGTAAGTTCATCATAAAAATCTTCCATTATGTAAATGTGAGTTTATGTGCTGTAATTCCCAGGTGTTCCACAAATAAATGGCATAGCTGTTAGCTCTTCACTTCAATTAATGACCCAGAATCACACTTTACAAATGTATACATTCACCTAACTATTGTTTATTTCATTAACGCTCCCTTCTGTCTTAGTTAATTTAACTAATTTAGGAATAGTTCTAACACCAGTCTTGTTGGGGAAATTAACGATAACTTGGATGAATCGAGAGTTGTGTAAACATTTTCAGATTGAATATTTTGGTGGTTCACTCCAAAATTCAATCGGATAAAACTCGAAAGTATCAAGAACGAAATATGAGAATTGCTATGAAAAAACCGAACAAAACTCGACCATGGCCTGCAGGAATTTATAAATTTGCGGCAGAGGGAGAAGATGCCTATCGCGTCTCTTTCCCAAGTTACGCGATCCTTTGCGCGGAAGTTCTTCAAATTCGGTGCTATCCAATCGGAAGTTTTCTCTTAATGAAGTTTTCGAAAAATAAAATTCTAATTCTAATTGCCTATCTCGACCCCAGCCAGGGGCTCTGCCCCTTGGACCCCGCAGGGGCTGCCGCCCTTTGAACCCTGCTCGGGGGCGCTGCCCCCTTGGAACCCCCGGTGTAATGGGATTTTTTATCGTAACAAACTCAATGAAGCGTGCACTCCGCACCACCAAACTTCTTTGATGATTATTAGGATACCATTGGTCGTAGTTTTTCCAATTACACTAAAATATATAACAAGTCTTGTGGAGTCAAGTGTTTTCTGTTATTCAGATCCTCTTTATGCCCTTCTCTATTCATATATTTTCCTGAAATGTTGTCAGCTAAAAGGAACTACACCATAAAATCAAAACCGTTCTCTCTTTCTGATCTTCCGCTCTAATCTTGCAGTGGGGGAAGTTCTAGTGGAAGTAGTGTTGTTGGGGAGAGACTTCTGTCTACTCTTCTGACTGAGATGGATGGCCTGGAGCAAATTAAGGTGTGATCATTTAACCCTTTATTTTCCTTGGATTACTTAAAAAATATAAAACTAAGGGACAATTACATATCTTCTCTTTCTTTCCGTTAGGGGATTCTTGTTTTGGCTGCAACAAATCGCCCTCAGGCAATTGATGCTGCACTTATGCGACCTGGACGTTTTGATCTGGTACAGTTCTTTTCATTGTTTATTTCCACTCTTGAGTCTTGAGCACATAGATTCAGTTCTCCTGATTGGCCATTGATGCCAAATTATACTTTGATATTTCGGAAAATTTTATTTTTTTGTCCCCTTGTTTTGTGATATCTTTACTGCTCACTGTTTACACCCTTCTGGGATGAGTTTTCTTGGGGTTCTTTTGACACTCAACTCCAATGGCATATTTTGACACCATTCCATTTGAGGCTACTACTTCCCACAAACTCCCCCTCCTCCCGCCCCCATTTTGGTGACAATCTTCTCAAATTGAGTGGATTGTCACCAAAACTGAGGATGAGGGTAGGAACTACTTTGGGGTCGAACATAGCACCGTAGTGCCTAAAATACACCAGTGTCATAATACGACACTGACCCTTGTCGTAAAAAGAGAACTAAATGGACTCTGTATTCTCTTTAGGTTCTTTATGTGCCACCGCCAGATTTCGAAGCTCGGTATGAGATCCTCCGTGTGCACACACGGGGAATGAAACTAGATGCCGACGTTGATCTCAGGCGAGTAGCTGAAAGCACGGACCTCTTCACAGGGGCAGAATTGGAAGGATTGTGCAGAGAAGCCGGAATCGTCGCTTTAAGAGAAGACATTTCAGCGACAGTTGTGTGCGATCGCCACTTCCAAGCGGTCCTGCAGTCGCTAACGCCGGCACTCACTTGGGACGTCATTGAATCATATTCCTCATTTACGAAGAAGAAGTGAAGAACCCCTTCTGCTGCTGCTGCTGCTGCTTCACTTCAACTTTGACCATTTTAAACAGTGCATCAAAGACCTTGTTTGGAGTATTAACTCGAGAGAGAGAAGCTTTTAGCAAGTTATTTTATCGTGCCTGGAGCTTAAAATAGGCTCTTAGATCATTGTTGTTTGTAATGTTTAGAAAATTAGATGGTCATTATAGTTACTCCATATTTAACTTCTTTGAAAAATCTCCATTTCGTCCCATTTGATTCTTTAGTTGTTCTTCAAGTAAAATGTAGATTTTCTCACATTTTTTATTGAATAGCAAATTGGTCTTTTGTTTTTGTAAAATGTCAATTTATTTATGATATTAACGTACTAAGATCTACTCCATGCGTCCCATTTTATAATGCCTATTTTTAACTTTAGGCCATATTAAAGGAAAGAAAAAATTAAAGTTGACTTTCCAAAATTGCCCCTTAGTTAATTCTTTTAAGGTGGGTAGGAGTAAGAAAAGGTGGGTAGGAGTAATTACATGGGAGGGTATTTTGGGGAATCAACATACATAATCATACCAAATAAAGAAACATGCATGTCATTTTGGGACGGACGGAAAAAGAAAATAAGCATTATACTCCGTAATTTGGAACGTAGGGAGTATAAAATAAGCACGAACCTTAGTTACAAGTAAAAATTCACCTTGATTCTTTACGGAGTACTATTCATGCAAAATGATCCCTCCATCCAAGTTAGTTCTTTCTATATACACTATTCATTCCGTCAAATTTTATTAACTTTATTTAATTATTTTTATTAGTCATTCCATGACATAGCATAATTAAGTTTTGTCAAACTTTTATTTAGTTTTTAAAACCAACATAGACTAGTGCATTTGTTCCTACGTATGGCATAATATGAACATAGCATAATATGAACAAAAGATTAACTCGTATGGCAGACAAGTTCTACAAATGTGATGAAGTAACTTCTTGCGAAAACAAGTTAACTCAATAAACCGAATTAGATTTTATAGCTTACTAAATACTCCGTAAAAGTTTGGTTTTCATGCCATTGCCCATACAATCGTCTCTCTTATAGTGAATAAAGATAATGTTTTTACTATTTAAAAGCCATCATAATAGATACCAAAATCACTATCATACTCATCCGAATAGATACCAGTATCATGGTCAAATTCATAATCAAAGATAGGATCATAAACTTGACCATGATTCAGAGTTGACCCATCATCGTCTTCCTCGAAAAGCTTGCAAAAGGCAATGTTATCATCATCATCATTGCAGGAGTTCCAAAAGACACCATCATCTCCTTCACTATTGTTCCAGGCTTCATTGTTCCAAGCTTCATTGTCTTCCACGAACAAATCCCAAAAGGTTGCATCATCATTGTCTTGGCCAACACTACAATCCCAAAATGGAGACAACAAATCATCAAAGCCCATATCGATCAATGAGTTGAAAAAAAAAGTGACCAAAAAAAGAGAGGCAGCTTTGCTTGTTCATATATGAAGCCACACAGCTATAAACGTACTACAGCTAGTATATGCCGCATTTATTTGCAGAGCAACATATATTGGGAATGGCAAGAGTCGAAAAGTCATTAATTAACTAGCTGTATGTACGTGGTACAATGCGGAAGAAATATTTGCACTAAATAGCACTAAGTCATTTCCCTAAATAGCACTTAAATTGTTTTATTCTCTAAATAGCACTTATAATGTCCATAATGTCCAGTGATGGCAAAATTTTGCTTGAATAATGACTAATGCATAATGACTAAAAGTGCTACATTGGAAAGAAAAAAAACATATGTAGTGCTATTTAGAGAAAGTCATTATGTTTTAGTGCTATTTAGGTAAATTCCTCCGATGCCGAATACCAATGGTCAAATTACCAAAAAACTGTCCAAATTAAGTGCATCACTTCCACTAGCTATTTCATCAACCCCAACATCACATGGTACGAGTTGTGCAAAGGAAACCCCTACGTTTTCATTGGTTATTTGATAAAATAAATAATTTTTTATACCTCTTATTTCAAAAAAAAATTCATGTGATTTTTTAAATACGTATATTTTCTTCGTTGCATGACGAATAAGTTTTAGAGTATATTTTCCAAGTTTTTTTCAATGAGTGATGTCGATCAAAGCGAGCACAAAGAATTTTTTTTAACATCCTAATTCGTCTAAGTCTGCAGCCTCTTTCAGACAAAAATATTAACTTGGTAACGTCATAAATTTAAAACATTTCAAACTTGATTTCATCATAATAAAATATTCAGAACAATAAAGGTGTTTATCAAATTTGCGGAAACTTAAAATAATTGTATCACATCACAATCATAAAATATAAATAATTCATTTTTGAAATATTTATTCAACAGTTGGAAATCATCACACATATGTCCGACATCTCCTCCACATTTGCGGCATGCCATGGCGAATGTCAAATCATTCTGTATTTTGTTTACCTTTATGTAGCAAATAAAGCATACTACATGCTCAGCGATGAAGCTGAGTAAGAAAATCTAATGCATCAAGCATCCACATAATTTGCATGGGTGGCCCGGAGGGTGTGCAAAGTGGCCAACCGCACAGGGTCCCTTAAAACTTAGAGCACCATATTTTTAAATTTGTTAATAATTTTAAAGCAAAAGTATTCTAAAAATATACAATAGGGCACAAAATGTAAATTTTGGACCAGGCCAATTTTATTTTTTCATTTTTCAGGGCCGGCCCTGATAATTTGAATCACAATTCATAATCAAAACAATTGATATCATGCACATAATATTCAGTTTAATCTTTCAATAATCATGGTATCAACAGTTTTTTTAAACTATTCTTAGTCTAAGGCCAAATCATAATAGTACTCTTAAACTATTCTTAGTTTAATGCTAATTATTTTGATAACGTGACTCTTAAACTATAATTACTTTAAGGCCATTTTATTTAATAACTGGACTCTTAAATTATAATTAGTTTAAGGCAAATTTTTATTGATAACCACACTCTTAAACCATAATTAGTTTAAGGCTATTTTATTTAATAATCGGACTCTTAAACTATAATTAGTTTAAGGAAATTTTTTATTGATAACCACACTCTTAAACTATAATTACTTTAAGGCAGAAAACCGAACATCGGATAACTCACTGTCGGGTTGGGTGGTACCCCAAACGAATAAATACTCAAGTTTGGTTTATGGATCCCGTATGTACATTTTAACCCGAGCCACGAGACATCATACGCGCAAGACCTAACTAGATTGGTCATATGAGGTCTATTTTCAAGTTCTTCTAGATAGCCTTAATTGTTTATCATCATCATTTAATAAGAATATTATTACTTAATCAAGATTCAATTATAATCAATAACAATCATCATCATAATAAATACTACCTAACAAATAGTGGCATAACGTCGAGTGTTAATACCCCAACTTACTGTCATGCATCAAATAAGCTTTTTAAATTGATCAAAACATCATGTTTAACTTGATGAAAATGACACCTATACGGATTTATAGTTGAATAGTAGCAAAATAGGATTTCATACCTTGAAAAAAAATAGATTTTCTGGTACTGGAATGATTTATGACGATTGACCGTACTGTGATACGGTCGATCATTACCGCCTTCGTGCAAGTGGGCTTGGGGCAGTTGATCGTTACCATCGATGGTCGACCGTTCTGCAACTAGTCGTCATCAACGTCGGCCCAAATTTCAAAAATACCATTTTAAGCTAGCAAACATCAATTAAACCAGGGTCGGCCCATAAGGGGGACGGGCTGCCCGATTGGACCAGGCCCATGATTTTTGGGGGCCTAATTTTAAAAAAATATAAAAGCATATATATAGTAAGCCCAAAACTCAGAGCTCCAAGTCTCTGATAATCATCTCCAGCCTACTGTATCTCGCGTCTGAATTCCCGCAAGACAGCACTCCAGCCATTCTAGGATTCTCCCGTCCAGATTCGAGAAGACTCTTCACTCCAGCGGCGGAATAACTGCCACTCCAGTCTCTAGCGGCGCGGAAGAACTCTTCTTCAGCTTCCAGAATTTGAGATATCGAGGTATTCATCATTCTTTCAATTATTCATTCGTCATTTTTGGAGTAAATTAAAATTGAATCTAGGGTTAGTTGAATAATTTCTAGTTATAGGGTTAAAAAGGTTAAAATACACAATAATCTTGTCTCCACCCATTGAATCTTAGTTTAGAGCATTATACGTTTATATATACCTGATCCGTCCTTTAATTCAATGCGTCATATGTCTCAATTTGTTGCCTGTTGCCATGAAAATTTGGGGAAAGTGCAATAGTTAGTACTAATAAGAGTGTTCAAATGAGTCCAGTGTAATGTTGTATTTCAATGTTTCTTGGAAATATATGTGAAGTATTTTGATAATATTAGGACCCTGTAATAGTATCAAAATACCAAAAGTGCTATTTACACACACACATACACACACACAAAGGCTAATAAAACTTTCTATATGATAGAAAAGGCTGCAAAGCTATGATCCTGTAAAAGAGATAACTTACTTTGATGATCATTGTATAAATTTGACATGTAAACTTCCATGAGCTATCGTACAGTTGATTTTTTTATCTTCAGATTTTCGATAGCAATTACGGAGTATTAATATTCTGATGAGTTTCTGAATGATACTATTTTTACTTTCTATTTTCTTTTTTAAACTTGATTTGATTGAAAATGCGTCAAATGATGATATTGTGAAAATCCTACGCAGACCAATATACTAGTTAAGTTGTTTACTTGTTTTTGTAAAATAGTCAACATCATTTGTATATAGGTATAGACACAATAACACATATACAAGGCTCTACGAATCCAGAAAATGCTGAGGAGGCGATTATCTTCACTTATACCAACAACAATACTTACTGCCCAGAATCACCACCTCCAACAAATGTCAAAGTTTATCCATTTCTCGCCTCTACATCTCACTTCACAACCGTTCCTGCAATGCTGGCCTGCTATCTCAATGCCCGGCTGTGAAATTGGGGGTATACGGGCCTACAGCAGCCTATTGGCGCTGAATGATCTGAGGGATAACCCAGGGGCCCGCAAGCAGAAGACACGGAAGGGGCGCGGTATTGGTTCGGGAAAGGGGAAGACAGCAGGACGGGGTCATAAGGGTCAGAAAGCTCGTGGTACTATGAAGTTTGGATTTGAAGGTGGGCAAACTCCACTTCGTCGCCGCCTCCCCAAACGGGGCTTTAAAAATCCATTCAGCCTTACATTTCAGGTAGTTAAGTTCGTCCATTTGCTCTAGTCTCTTTAGTTTATTTGATATGTGATTATTTTACATTTGTGGAGGTGCTTTTGAAAAGTCTTTCAGTTGAACCTGTCATTTGTTCTTAGAGATTAACTCCTGTCAAGTGTTTCACATTGATTGAATATGAATTGTTTGTCATGATGGGAACATTGCCGAGTGGCATACTCTTGCTCTAAGTGGAATCAGAAATTTACACAGCAGCTAGCTGTTTGGTGGCCGAAACCCCATATTACTGAATATTTTTTGCACTATGCCCATGGTGCTAGATAGCATTAATTTGCAACCTTACCCTTAGCTAGTATAACATTTTTCAATATTTACTGCTTACAGTATATGTTCATGTTTTTAGCAAACTAAGATTGTGAGCATTGATAATTTTGGAGCCGGAATTTGGGGGGGGATGCATAGCTCAATCGGGTTTTGAACTGAGTCATGATTGGTTATGAACTTATTTGATTTTGAGGATGTATATGCTCAAATATGAAGAGGGTTAACCTAGCTGAAAAATGATTCCAAGGCAATATGAAGTATATTTCCATGGTTAAATCGTGAATTTTTCTTTTTTTTTTACGAGTTTTGTGTTAATTCGTATGGGATTCTGATGTGTGCATATAAGTTAACGACTGAGTTACCATTCAAAAGAAAAGATGGGTGAAAAAGTATATTGTTGCACCAATTGAAATAGAAATCCAACAAAACATCTAGGTTTATACAGCATGACTTGTAGCAAGGCTGGCCAGAGCAAAACAGTCTTTCCATTAAAAAGAGAGGACAAGATGATCACTTATAAATAGTAAACTGAATGCCAAATTTGCATAGGTTAAACTTAAGGTCTCTTCATTCCCAGACGTTGCAATCAGCCAGTAAGTATCCAATTTCCAAATGTTAGCTAACCACTTGTCTGCGCCATTCCCCCCCTCCCCCCCCACACACGCACAGACACATGTGTGGCTCACTGAACATATTTTGGAGTTATTTTCCTATTACATTTTTGCTGATTGTCCTTTACATTTATCCTTCTTGCAGCCTGTTGGCTTAGGAAAAATTGCAAAGCTGATAAATGCTGGGAAGATAGATTCCTCAGAGCTAATCACAATGAAAACCCTAAAGGTATGCTCTTTAATTTCTTTTGCCTCCTCTTCTCTTCAATTTTCACCTGCAACATTGTTGATGCAACATGTTTTCCTGTAAATAGGATACTGGGGCAATAGGGAAGCAAATTGAAGATGGAGTTAGATTGATGGGACGTGGTGCAGAGCATATTCAATGGCCCATCCATCTTGAGGTAGTTTTCATTCTTGATTTACTTCATGGTACTTGTGCTCTATGTATCCTTACAACTTTTTTTTGAAAAGTAAATGCTCGTGTATGATCACAAATCGTATCAACCAGTATAAGTTTAATCAATTCAAATACACTTAGCTTTAAAATTAACAAAACATCTAAGCCATAATTTGACTAAGGATATGGCTTCTTCTTCTTTAATGATCTTCTTGTGTATAAGACCATTCCTAGCTCTCCAGATAACATAGCAAATACAGGCCCAGGCTATGATTAATTTCCTTCTCTTCGGGTTGAGATGTTTAACCTGCTCTTCAAAATCATTCAGACCTGAAGTAGTAATATTACATTTAAGCCACCCCAAAACACCAGTATAAATATTTTGAGCATAAGGACAGTGCCAGAACAGGTGCAAAACAGATTCATTATCACCCTTACAGAGTAGGCAACTTATATCATTTACCATAAACTTACTCAATCTGTCTTTTTGTTTGTAATCTGCCTTTTTTAAGGAGCCAAAATATGATTTGCTGTTTAGATGGGAGAAATTTGTTCCAGACTCACAAGAGCCAGTGAGGCTTTTGTTTGACTCCCATAAGCCATTCATGCCTCTGAAATCATCTCTGACATCTATCATTCTTTTCCAGTAGTTACATGAATCAGTCTTAGGGATGTAGTCCCGGATAAGCATTGGAATTAATCACTAGGTTAATTGCAAGGCGGAATTAAGTAAACACGGGAGATGCATGGAAAACCCTATCATTGTGGGATTCTGAGTGTGTTTGACTGATCTTATAGACTCCATAAAACAACTTATTAGCTGCTTGAGGAGCTTAAAATAAGCTCCTTAATTCTGGCCGGTAACAATTTTTAATAAAATACTCCGTAGCATACAAGCTCTAAAATTAAGGTTTGAGGCTTTTGAGCTCCTAAAAAGGGTAAGGTCGTGCAGCTTATTTTAAAGAGCTTATGCACTCTCCACTCCTAAAATATAAAATGAGATTAACAATTTTATGTCTCTCATTATTATATTCTTATTGTGTTTTGGAAGATATTTAATTTTCATGAATTAATTGTTTCCAAATGAACCAATAAATTACAAGTCTTCAAAACAGTTTACAAGATCTATCCAAGCTCTTTACAATCTTATAAACTCTAACAACATCTAAGATCTTAATGGTCAACTTATCCACACACCCACTCTAATTAGTTTCGTAACCTCTTTGTATATTGTTCACACAGGTCTCTAGGGTCACAGTGAGGGCAAAAGCTGCGGTGGAAGCCGCTGGTGGGTCTGTAAGGAGAGTCTATTACAACAAATTGGGTTTGCGGGCCCTGCTCAAGCCCGAATGGTTTGAAAAGAAGGGGCGATTACTCCCGAAAGCAGCAAGGCCTCCACCAAAACTGAAACATAAAGTAGACAGTATAGGCCGATTGCCCGCTCCAACAAAGCCGATACCGTTTACAACCGAAGAAAAAGAGGCAATGTCTGCCGCTGCCGCTTGTTGAACACGCAATTCATTTGGGTATATTTTTGTTTTGCCTAATTTTGCTCGCGGAGAGAAGAACAAGAATCGTGGTTTTCTCTTTAGCTTGTTTTAAAAGATTTAGTGTTTTTGATATATATATAATATATTTAAGGATGGCGTGGTTTAGAGCCTCTCAGGATAGGCTTTAAAAAGCAAGTGCTAGTCGAGAGACAATGAGCCGTTTAAAGTTTGCATGAATGATAATGTAAAAATTATGCATTATTGTACACTACTTTTGCTTAGCTAAACTGTTAAGTATTTAAAAAAACCTTTTGGTTAAATTCACTCCTGGACATAAATGTATCCCTAAAGAAAGTTAAAATGAAATAGTAAGAAACAAAAAACTATTGGTGTTCCTAATCTATTACTTTTCAATCTCAAATTAAACTGCAAGAAGTTTAAATTTTTATTTACTTTATATATTAATTTTTTGCGAGTCATTTAATTAAGAAAATTTGGTCATATCAGCACTTGTTTTTTATATCTAGCTTATACTGTAAATGCAAATTTTAGAAATACTTCGCTTACGGAGGGAGTAATATTTTTTTTTTATTTCTTGATCCAAAAGTTGAAACAAGCAACAGGTATGAACGATTAGGGAAAAATAAACCAGTCTACTCCGTATATGAAATTAGCTAATATGTAATCAATTCTTATCTTTATTGGCCAAGATTGATAGAACTGTCACGAAGTATATGATCAAGTAAAATAATTCTTAGTCGTAATATACAACAAAATGATATAAATTTTAAACTAGCCACTACTAGGTACTCCATATTTATTGAATTCTGATTTGATATTAAAAAATACAATGATTATATGAAATATTATTATGGTTAAAGTATTACTCCGGAATATAATGATACTCAATTTGTAAAGTTGATAATTCCTACTCCCACCCCTCCGTAATAAACCTTAGCCCTGGCAATTACATCCCATAAGTTTTGTTGACTTTTTCAATCATAATTTTGACCCAAATGTCAAAGAAACTTGTATACTTCAATTGTAGAGGCTGGCAAGGGTGGTTGTGAAGGGGCAAGATTAGGGCGAATTGAAGGTTTATGAGGAGAGTGAAAAGAGGCAAAAATTGTCAATTTTATGAACGGATTAGAGCACCGCAGGTACCTTGATTGAAATGGGGTCACGGAGTTGTACTGTTGGTTAGTAATGGCAATTTTTGTTATTTCAAAGAAAGAAAAGGCAAATTATAGTAAAGGAAAATAAGCATTACGATTAAACGAAACAAAAAATAGTAGTAGCAGTAGTACAAAATGCCATCATCCGAAGCATAATTAAGCAGCTTAATTAGTTAATTAAACCCACAAACAAAAACCATTTATATAAAGAAGAACATATAACTTCCACTACTCGTTGCCGCGGAGATCACGGAAGTAGGAAGCCGGGTCCCGCTCAAACTCATCCCTGAAGATGCGGTTCTGCGGCCTTCCCGGAGCTCTCATGGTCGGCCTGCCGCCGCCGAAGAGCATGGATCCAAGCCACGAGATCAGAGCGACAGCAGCGACGCCTAATGCGACCTCAAGGCCGGCGGGTTTCTCTCCCTGCTCATCGCCGGTGTTGTTACCGTTGCCTTTTCCGTTATTGGCGGAAGCCATTGCAGTGGACTCTCACCTCAGCTCTTCTAATTAAATAAGTGACTCTTTAGTTTCTTTTTCACTGGCAGGAGACTGATTTGTTGCAGGAATTGCATGAAGCATTCTATTTGTAGTCCAGATATAGAGCGCGCGCATGCATGCATGCATGCATAGACGGACGTGAAAACGGTTGGATTCCCTAGAAAAATCTATCATAAATGTGGCCGGCTAACCAGTGTTTAGATCTGGCCATAATTAATGATGTTTGCCTAGAAAATACAAACGACCTCTTTCATTAAGGTAAATAAAATAAGAAATATTTGCCCTAAATAACACCAAAACTTAAGTCATTTATCTTTTTTTTTTGAACACTGCACAATCTTATATTATCACAAACGCAAATCCATGCATGATTACAACAAGAGCTTACTACCTATCATCTTACATAAACCATCTGCTATCAATCGTACTATATTTTCCTCCTATACAAATAGGTATTAAGATTGAACCAAGTATAAGAAATACTTTCCTCTACTTTAATATTCTCTTTTGCGAAAATTTTCTTGTTCTAGCCCTCCAGATTGAGTAACATATTGCTGCCCAGGCTGCTCTCCAGACCATCTTTTGCTTCCTACTGCCCTTCCTTAGGTATTTCGAACAGAATTCTTGTGGTGACTCCCCACCTACTTCACAGCCCAGGCTGGTCATGATGCTCCCAAATATGCAGTTTGCATAGTCACATTTCCAGAACAAGTGGTTTATATCTTCATTTCCACTATCACACAGCACACATCCATTGTCAATAATTAGAAATCTACTCAGCCGTTGCTTAGTTTGGAGCCTCCCTTTCAGTAGCATCCAAACAAACATTTTGTGCTTTGGCATTAAATTGTTTTATTCTCTAAATAGCACTTAATAATTATAATGTCCATAATATCTAGTGATGATGAATATTTGCTTGAATAATGACTAATACATAATGACTAAAAGTGCTACATTGGGAAGAAAAACACATATAGTGCTATTTAGGAAAACTCATTATATTTTAGTGCTATTTAAGTAAATTTCTGATAAAATAACATCAAAACGCCCCGCTTTTCGTCTTCCAAATTAAAATTAATTTCACATTCTAATATTGTGTAAAATGGTACAATCTTTTTTGCATTGTTGCCGATTTTGGGCCTTCGATGGAATTGAAGAAGGAATATGCTTTATTTCTTTGTGCAAAAGAATCTCACTTTTCTGTTCTTTATACAAATTTGAACGACTTATTTTTTTTTTTTTACTTTTGACACATTATATTTTATTTTAAGATGAAGTCAAACAATAATACCACACAAATTATAGTTTATTCAGTTGATTGAAAACCGTGATAATCACATATATAGTACAATGTATGTACTCCGTATTTTATTTTTTTATTTTTGAGTGACAGTATTATACAGTAATTAATAATTAGGGAAAGAATTGAATAATAATACTCTGAATACAACAAATTAAAAACAATCATAAATGCAGACGCAGTAGATATGATCGGGGGGGTCCGGACCTCTGACTTGGCACTCGGCGAATGGATTGTGTCCTTTGAACATTTCATTGCAGTCTTTCTGGCAGCGCTCGAAACCCCAGTAGCATCCGTCTATCATCTTCCTGCACGCCCCCGGATAGTCCACGCCGCCCTCCACCTCCTCCTCCTCTTTTCCACTTCCGCCGCCGCCGCTCCCCGCCACCCATGCGCCGCCGTCGCCTTCTGCTGCTGCNAGCATCCGTCTATCATCTTCCTGCACGCCCCCGGATAGTCCACCCCGCCCTCCCCCTCCTCCCCTTTTCCACTTCCGCCGCCGCCCCTCCCCGCCACCCATTCGCCGCCGCCGCCGCCTTCTGCTTCTGCCACCCTCATTTCCCCTGCATCCCATTCATGACGACTCACTATAGAAATTACTCTATTTGAGTTTTGAGGATGGAAAGAATTTAGGATGGGAAAAATGATTACTAGATTAGGTGAAAAGACACTCGGACCAAACCACGTTAAAAGATTGAATCCAATCAACTACTTAGTTCAACTCCAAATCTTATATACAAATTTATTTTCTTTTCAAGTTTCGACATCGGTTTATGACATTAAGTATTGATATCAAATGATCTATATGTCGATTTAATCACACATTTTTTAGTTTTTAACACTTCTATCGAATTCGATAAAAGTCAGAACTTTGTAAAAAGAATTTGAAACGGAATAAGTATTAAATTAAATACCTGATTTTTTTATTTGTTTAGCGTTTTAGATAAAATTATAATGATGTAAATTAGTTTTGAAAACGGTAATGATAGATCTTAGCATAGATAACATTTTTCAAAATACTAACGTCAAACTCTAATTTTGTTTCCAAATCGGACCTACATGTGATCTTGTGGAAGATTCTTTCTTTTCATTCAGTTATTTGAATGATTTAAAATTTTAAAACTAATACGGAGTAATAGGAGATACTCCGTACTTCTCAACAAGTTCTTATATAAATCGGCTAGAAGTAGACTTGATCATGCCCGCGAGCTTAGGCTTAACATTCTAGGGTACGAGTCGAACTTGGACCTTATAAAAGATGGACCGAATAGTTTAGGCCTGGGCTCTAATTTTATGCTCAAGCCCGGATTGGGCCAACTTGAATAAATTAAAATATTTATTATTAGTATAATTATAATAAAATAATAATAATAATGTTAGTATTAATAATAATAATAAAAAGAACAATATTATTTCAAATCATTATAAACACACATACACACTTTTATGGAAAAAAATGTGAATTATAAGCATATTTAATAAATTAAATACATCATTATTACTCCGTTTTGTTTACTACGTAAATTGATAATGATATTCTAATGAATAATACTCCCTCCATCCCTGAGTATTGTCCACTTTTGACTTTTTTAGTCAAAATTGGTAAACTTTGACATCAAATTAAATAAAAATGATATTAGATATTAATACAAAAATAGTATTAGTAGATTTATTATATCAAATATTTTCAAAATATTATTTTATCTAATTAGTATACATTATATATTTAATTTAATTTTAAGTCAAAAGTTAAAAATAGTTGGCCGAAAAAGTCCAAACTCGACAAATACTTAGGGACAGAGGTAGTACTTCGTAGTCCGTATGTAGTAGCAATATCAAACCAAAGATATTTTATATATTAGTTGTTCTTTTACGCGGGTCGGACTCGGGCTTTATATCTTAGGCCCGCTATACGGTTCGGGCTAGATTCAAAGTTAGAAAATTCTCGTAATGTAGCATCTCAGCCCTGTCTGAAATCTGGTCTGGCCCGCACTTTGTTCAGGTCTAGCTAAAAGTTAGGAAATAACCGGAATGCATCTAAATTGTAAAATGATGTCCGAATGACCAAATAAATATTTTTTAGGAGTGCTAGGGGACCCTAAGATTTTGACACCAAATACGCACCAAGACCAATACAGACACATTCGAATATTTAATGTCCAATTATGACGGGGTACACCAAATGTTGTGGTGTTCGTATTAGTCTTGGTGTGAATTTAGTGTCAAATACTTATAGCGCACCTAGCATTTTTGTTTTTTAGTACCATTAATTCTACTACATACTCCCTTCGTCTCCCTGTATTTGTCCACATTTGACTTTTGGAACTGTTCATCTAAGCACTTTGACTAATCAAATTCTCTCAATGTGTAGGCCTAAATATAGTCATGTGTGATCTTGTTTGATTTGTCTTAGCATATACTCCCTCTGTTCCACAAAATCCTTCCAATTTTGACTTTGGGGAAAAATAAGAAAAATGTAATTTTGGTTGACTTTCCAATTTTGCCCCTGATGTGATGAGAAAAAGTAAGATGGGATAGTTTGGTTATTAGTGAAAAAGTATGATGTCACAGGTAAGGTATGAAAAAGTAGGGGTAAAAGTAGTTTTTTAATAGAAAGTGGAAGTGTTTTGTGGAAAGCAAAAAAACGAAAGAGGAAGAGTTTTGTGGAACGGAGGGAGTAGATTATTAATATATAATTTTTATAATTTTTTAATATACAAATTACAAGATAAAATAGATTAAAGAAGTGCATTGGATGGTGTACAAAAATGAAAGTGGACAAATACAGGGAGACCGTGGGAATACTTTTTAAAACTCCTAAAGTCCTGACTCACAAATAGTCAAGTTGGCATTAAGGTTTAAATTTGTGGCATGACGTCTTATTTTAAAAAAAAGTCACAATTATATCGCTCGATCACAAAAAAATCTGCCCGAATGGACATTTTTCATTTAATAATTTAGCAATTAATTAAAGCATTGAAGCATGTATATATAGAACATATAAACTAATCTTAATTAATTACCTGAAGACGCAAATATAAGAACGACAAAGATGAAAAATAAAAGTGATAAGGTGGCCATTTTAATATATTTTCTAGTAAGATTAATAATCTTTATTATTATATTAATTTGCAAACAAAGATGTGGTGCTTATATAGCCGTCCAAGTGGCCCTGATGTGTACTCCCTGTTCCGAAGTATTTTTCTATTTTCTATTTTTCTCGGTCAAATTAGTAAAATTGATCCCAAATTAAATAAAAATGTTATTAGATATTGATACGAAATAGTTTTATTAGATTTATTATATAAAATATTTTCAAAACATTAATTTGTCTAATTAATATACAATATATATTTATTTAATTATAAGTCAAAAGTTGAAAACGATTGACTGAAAAAAATCAAATCTGGACAAATATTCTAGGACGGATACTACTTAGTATTTTTAGTGCATGTTTTAGTTACAAAATGGTTTTATCCATTTTCCATTTGTGGCTGTTTTTAAAATTCTAAGTTTCGATCATCTCTATTTAATTAAATATTACCCATTAAATTAGTTTGCGCAGAAGCCAAGTGATCATTCTTAGTTTGTAAAGAAACATGATAAAGAAATATGAGGAAAAAAAAGGAATATCCTTAAAATGTCATACTCATATTCCTAACGAAGTATTAATGACAACTGAAAAAATATCATAAGAAGCATATTATTAATTTATGTTTTTTAAAAAGTTATTTTTTACTCCATCTGTTTCAAAGTGATTTATTTCTTTACTATTACAACTTAAGATAACTTTTGTTTATTTACATATTTCCATTGGTCATTTGATAAGAAAATATACTTGTCATCTCTTGTTTTGTAAAACTTTTGATATAGTTGTTAAATATGTAAGTTTTATTTTTATTTCTGTATATAGTGATTTCTAAATAAAATTATTTCAAAAATCATAAGATTTTGCACGCCGTTTGAACAAAAAACTTTTTTTAAACGGAGGGAGTATAATTTTTTTTTATCACTTAGTATAACTTTGTTATAATGTAGTATTTGTTCATATTTTTTTATCAACATATTCAAATATGGAAGGTTATCGCCTTCACTGGGGGTTCGAATACTTAACCATGGGTGGCCCAGAGGGTGTGCAAGGTGGTCAACCGCTGAGGGTCCCTAAAATTTTAGGGTCCCATATTTTTAAATTCGGCATTAATTTTGAAGCATAAGTATTTTAAACAAACAAAATAGGGCTTAAAATGTAAATTTTAGACCGGACCAATTTTATTTTTTAATTTTTTGGGGCCGGCCCTGTACTTAACCTCCCATAACTCTGTTATAATATACTCCGCATGTAATATGCGTACATATTTTTTCAAAAAATTGCTGCTGGGTACCCCTAATTTTGGGATAAAGACTAGCAGGTCCTATTGTTTTTCAAAATATACTCCGAGGTACCATAAGATATTCGAAAACTGACTCCGGGGTGACAATCCGTCATTCTCTCCGTTAACATTTCTTCTCCGTTATCCTCCTCCTCCTCTTCTCAAAAAATTACTGCCAAGTACCCCTTATTTTCGGACAAAGACTGGCAGGTCCCATTGTTTTCTTCTTCTTCCTCTTTTCTTCTTTTCTTCTTCTTTCTCCTGCCTTCCAGAGTTCCAGTGACCTCCATTCCTCTCCCACCCACGTTTTTTCTTCTTTTACCTTTTCTTTTGTTTTTTTTCTTCTTCTATTATAATTATTATTATTTGTTAATAATTATTATAATTAATTACTTCATAATTATTATTTTCTTATTCTATTATTATTATTAATTTTTTGATTTATTATTATTACTATTATTATTAAAAATTAATTGTTAGTTTTACCACTCTTTTCTATAAAAACACTAATTGTTATTTAGAAAAATAGCACTTATTATAAAATAACACTTATTATTAATACTATTATTTATTTTAAGCAATTAATTAGTAATTTTACTTCTATACTTTTTTAAAAAATACCACTAGTTATTATTACTACTTCATATTAATTACTCCTCTGTTCTAGAGTATTTGTGTACTTTTGTTTTTTTGGTCAAAATTGATAATATTATGTATTTCCTATTATTTCCTTAATTATTATTAAAAGTTAATTGCAGAGTAGTAATTTTATTANATGAAACAATAAAAATAGTGTTAAATTTAATATTATTATGAATTACGACGTATAATTTATAACCAAGTGATCAAATAATTTTAATTTTATAAATGATACGTAAGTTCCCTCTTCAGTCACAAACATCATATTTTAAATTCCCATGAGTAAATTTTTTTAAAAAATGGGACCTGCCAGTCTTTATCCGAAAATAAGGGGTACCTGGCAGCAATTTTTTGAGAAGAGGAGGAGGAGGAGGATAACGGAGAAGAAATGTTAACGGAGAGAATGACGGATTGTCACCCCGGAGTCAGTTTTCGAATATCTTAAGGTACCTCGGAGTATATTTTGAAAAACAATGGGACCTGCTAGTCTTTATCCCAAAATTAGAGGTACCCAACAGCAACTTTTTGCATATTTTTTTCTCAATTTATTGAAACTTAGAGAGTTATTATTTTCAGTGGAGTTGAAAACTTAACCTCTCATTTAGAAGAGCCACAATAGTGCCGCTAGACGACAAGATCTTGACGTGTTTTTATAAGTTGTTAATACTAAAAACAAACTTGTTGTAAACAAGGACTTTGTTTGATGTCTTTTTCGAACAATGTTGCATAATAGTGTGTAATAGTGTCTTTTATTAAATTTGAGAATATTGACGAAAATTAGAGAATTTGCGTAAATGTTCCTTTATTATAAATGCATGAAAAAATTCTTATTTCAATAATTCTAGGTTTACTCTCACCTCAATTAGTCATTAAAATACTTTCTTTTCAATGAATTTTTTTATTAATCACAACAAAAATATACCCTAGTTTTTTTAAACAAAAGGGAGTAAAATTATATTAATGATATGATGAAGTCAGGGGGAGAAATGTTCCATTCTCCCCTGCTCTGAGGTGAATGAGAAGCTCGCGTTAGTACTGGCGCCGCCTCATTAGCAGAACGATAAACAAAGTGAAAATGAAAGATTCCATCGCACGAAGTCAATAAGGATTTACAATCAGTAATAATCGAAGAGAAATAAGACCAATCACCAGAAGAGTTATTCAGTGCATCCACAACCTCCTTACAATAAGTTTCGATCTCTACCTGCTTCCAACATTTTGATTTGATCCAGCTAAGGGCCTCCTTAACTACCACTGCCTCTGCATCCCTAGAAACGTAGCTACCCTTGAAAGATATATTCTTAGCTGCCAAAAATACTCCCATCATATCATCAACGAAACATGTGGATGCATCAATATTAACCTTCATGAATCCATCACGTGGTCTTGACCATGAATTTCCTGTGACCCCCTCTAGTGTTGGGTTAGCTGACGACCACCACTCCTCAAAATGAGCTTTGGCTTTTAGCCACGTACCTATTGGGGTCGAGTTTCTACCCCGCCAAACTCTATCATTTTGGGTCTTCCATATTGAGCACAAGACATGAAACACCAAGGCGATGAATTAAAGTGTACATAGATAAAAAAGGATTACATACCAATTATTTTAGAGCCTCCCTCACTTATAGAGAGAATGATTAACTCAAACCCATTTGGCCAATTCTGTATAAGGACATGCCAGTCTAGTTTAGTTTGAATGAATCTAATCTATTTTTTGTTCTGGTCTGATCTGTACCAAGAAAAGTTGAAGAACAAATCCAAACTCTTATACACCAATAACTTTTTCAAAACTAATGGAATTAGAAGTTTTAGAACTCAACTATAATTCTAAATTCCAACATTCCTACACCGAAGCCGATAAGAAATTAAGAACAAAATATAGCTGGAATATATATGCTTTGTACAACTAGCTTGCTTATCACATGATTCCTCACCACAGAGCTGATGATGGGTCAAAAATTTTCCCAGCTTCCCATATATATGTACATGCGAAGAGTTGGGTCGTCAAGTAGAATGCATATATTTTTCCTTCATGCGTGATATAAGCTTGAATTTCTCCTCGGCTTCAACTTGCTGGCGAATATCCCCCCTTGAAGCCCGATCCGGGTGGAATGTCAGCAACGCCCTCTTGTAAGCTGCACGTACCTGCAAACGCCATTGCTTTCTCCCTCAAATTATCTTCCATGTTACAGTATGTATTAACTTAACAAGCCCCAAAACCGGGCCGTGCATTGAAAGAAACAATTTCATAGGCATTGATGCAAGTTCGAGATGTGTTTTTTTTGTACTCACCATACCAATTCCAAGTTATGTTTATTACTCTCTAGTCTCTTTTTGTCAAATTTTGTCAAAACTTGGAAGTTTATAAAGATGGATTAAATAGAATAAGGCATAGATTACAGAAATGAATAACAAATAATTGCATGAATCTACAATAAATATGATATATACCATCTACAATAAAGATGCAATATAAGCCATAACAATATACACAACTTCCAGGTATACAGCTTTTTCAAAGAGGAGATTAACCAATATCATGAAAAATAGAATCTGCAGCCAGAGAAATACAGGAACTATTGCAGCAATTCGGATAGTTTCAAACACTATGTTACTTTGTCTTCCTTGTACAAAGAGAATCATAGGAAAGAAGTGAACCTCTTTGCCTTTTTGAAAATGTCTAATATGTCAGGCAAGACAAATACAATTTAAAGAAAGTTAAAACTATGAGAAAAATGTACCTCATTCAACTTTGGAGAAGGGCTGCCACCAACTGTAATGCCCAAACCCCGTAAGACAGAAGCCATGTCACAGCATGTTTTTTCTAGTTTACTAAGTTCTCTTCTGACTTCACTGCGAATCACATCCTTTGTGTTCATATTCTCTTCATCCTGAGATTTACCATACAGAAACAATATCTTGCTCAGGAAAATATCTAGAAGGATTTTAATGCATGCAGAGTTAACTATAATTTAAACTCTCTGTAAACTGCATGCATGGCTTCTTTAACGAATTGAACGAATGACTTAGCGGATGACTTTGTGCCATTGATGGACTAAGGGCAGATGGTAAACTGATAAAGAAAAGGAAAGCTGACGGATAAATTGTGGCTAGCTATTCAAAGAGATTCACCGTTATGGAATGGAAAGAATGAATCCGCAACATGAAAACAGAGAGTGCTGAGGGCATTCTTTGGAAGATCCATCTTTGCCTCTCTGGTCCTCTAAACCAGCCCTTTATATTATATATTGCATCTAGAATCTCAACTTTAAACAACTTATTGGAAATACACGACTTCCCACTAAAAATGTCACAAAATCCCCTGCTCTTGAGAGATGCCCTTAGCATTGAGGAACGTGTATGCACTTGGGTGTATATGCAACTCGCGTAGTGTATAGCTACAAACTTACAATTAGCCTTTTGAGCATTAAAAGTATTCCTAGTCTCACACCATCATTTTCCATCCAAATACAGCAATGTTAACTACTACCTCCGTCCCTGAGTATTTGTCCAGTTTTGACTTTTTTCGGTCAACTGTTTTCAACCTTTGACCTATAATTAAATAAAATATATATTTTATATTAATTAGATAAAATAACATTTGGAAAATACTTGATATGATAAATCTAATAAAATTATTTTTGTATCAATATCTAATATCATTTTAATTTAATTTAAAGTCAAAGTTTACCAATTTTGACCGAAAAAAAGTCAAAAGTGAACAAATACTCGGAGGGAGTATATAATAATAAAGAACAAATGGTGATGGATATTTTTCAGTCAAACTTACACTTTCATCATTAGTAAACATAGTAATGCCTTTTCAGCCAAGCCAATGCATTGTCACAAATGCCCGTCAACCTCCACTCTCTACTCTCTAGACAAATCATCTTTGATGAACATGTTTCTAGTTTCTTTATCTAATTTCTATATCAACTTATACTTAAAACCATGTTAAAATCGTATTAAATCTCTATTCTATATTTGAAATATATATCTAATTATTAAAATCATAAAATTTTAAACTCCATTGATAAGTTAATACTCCATATGTCGCAAAATAAACTTCACATTTTCCTTTTTGGTAGTTCCAACTTCCAAATAAATTTCACACTTCTCTTTTTTCTTCTTTAGGAATGAAATATGGGGCTCACAATTTTTGTCTCTCTATTTTAATTTCAATCATCCACTTATTACTTTTCAACACATTTCTTGAAGTTTGTGAAATAAAAAACTAATGTTTATTTCGAGATAGGGACATGGAATGTAAAAAGCTTTAATATTTACTGAGTAAATTTTTGTTATGACATGTATCTTATTTTCAGTACTTGTCAATTTTCAGGGCTAGATACAAACAACTGTGTGTATTGTGTACCATGACTAAATATTAATTTTAAAATTTCTTTCAAAAAACAAATTAAAAATAAATGATCTGGATCCGCAAGGGACGCATTTACCCATATGGGTCCGGCCTGTGAAGATCCATTAGTTATATGGGTCCAAAACAAATAGTAATGTGAATCTGGATAGGTCTACCCTCTGTGCTGAAACGCTCCATCCAAAAGGAACACAGTGTGATGAGGAATTATGTCCTCGAACATAACACAGTGTGACCAGCCAATCTTCCATCAGTATGTCGATTACTAGAGGGACAATACTTCAAACTTGGTGGTTTTCTGTGAGTCGCTCAAACTTTGTATTATTTTATTTTTACCAGCGAAACTTTGTACTCTGTATTATTCATGGAAACTTTTCCATGAAAAAATGCACAATAAGTTATTAGAAAATAACTTCACAAACTACATGTAAATACCTTCTTCTGTGTCTCTCTCATTTCCTCCAAACGTTGCTTTTGTCTTCTCTCCATGTCTAGTAAACGCATTCGTTCAGCTTTCCTTCTCTTCACCAATCGCCGCATCTGTTGTGCCTCTTCAGCCTGATAATGAAAAGAAAATATTAGCACGTAAAAGTGTAGACCTGCACAGGCTGAATGCCAGGAAAATAGAGGGAATGTAAATCAATGGGGCTAATTAGAGTAAGATAGTTTGTTCCACATTTACCAAAATATAATGGTATTGCTAAAGTAAGATGCAACAAATTGAAGCTGTTAGGAGTGTTAGACAAAGAAGAATTCACACAGTATTGGTAATTTATTACTGTTGAAGGTCAGTTGTAGTTGGTTGAAGCTTAGGTGATGTTATTAGTCAAAATCTGAATAACATTGTATGTATATACATTGCACGTATACATTTTAAAAATAAGAAATAGGGATTATTATTTTGCCCTCAACATAGAGGAATTAGAAAAGGAAAAATGGATCCAACAACCCATAAAGTCATAAACTAAGGATTAACTCCAAAACAGAAAAAAGTGCATAAAAATTAAAAATGAGGCCAGGCTTTGCTTTAAAGCGGAAGCACATAGGAAAGAAAGAAATGTGTTGCTAGGATCAAAACAAAGGATCATTATACCAAAAACACACCAACTAAATAGAATGTGGAGTGACTTAGGCCCTGTTCCGTTCAACTTATTTTTTCTTATTCTTATTAAAATCAGATCAGACCAGATCAGATCGAATCAGATCAGATTAGAACAAATTAGATCATATCAGATCAGACCAGATCTAATTAGATCAGATCAGATCAGATCCAATCAAATCAGACCAGATCAGATCCCATAAAGAATTATTATTATTGTTGTTGTTGTTGTTGTTATTATTATTATTATTATTATTATTAAAAATGAAAAAGAATAAACTTTAGAAACAAGTTAAATAGAAAACTGAGAAATTAATCCTTAATTATTAGACGTCGAAAAAATTAATTTTAAAATACATTGACAATGTCAATCTAATTCTACTTTTAAAACACATTTTTATTGCTACCTGTAATTTGAGTTTCTAAAGTTTTGATCTTTTATAAGGATGAGATATTTTAATAAAAATACTATCTCTTCTCTGTATTGATTTTATATAAATTAAATATTTATTCTAATGTATGTATGAACTAATTATTAAAATATTAAATCAATATTCTTATTTCACAAACAATAATCATAAAATAAAAAATATTATTACATTAAAATATGAATGATTATTCTAATATATAAATTAACTAATTTTATTTTATTAAAAAATAATTATAAAAT